TTAGTCTCGCTAAAACTCGCGAACGGCTGGACCGATTTGGCAAATTTTGGTCTTGAATTATTTGTGAAAGTCCAGAGAAGGTTTAAAAAGTAGATAAATATGAAAATTTTGTTTTTCCTTTGATGTCCCTCCTCCCCCCTCGGACGGATTCCTTTCGTTTGTTTTAAGTTTATTTTATACAAAAGTTTAGGTCTTTTATTTATCGATTGAGGCACTACGAAGTCTGCCGGGTCAGCTAGTTAATAAATAAAATAGCTGTTCTGTAAAAACGTCTCTGGAGAACTTAACTTGACTTTATCATCACTTTGACAGTTGGCTACGTGGACATCGACTCCAAAGACCTGACCACTAGGTACGCCAACGATGTGATCGCGTCCTGCGCCTTCGGTCTGAAGGTCGACTCCATCACCGAGGAGAACAACCAGTTCTACGCGATGGGGAAAGCCGCTTCCACTTTCAACTTCAGGCAGCTTCTCATTTTCTTTGGTCTTGCATCTGTCCCGAAGCTTGTGAAGGTAAGGTGTCTTGGAGTATTTTATCCCTAATACGTTTTGTGACAGATTTACTTGTCTATATATTATTTACATTTTACACAAATATGACCATGCCAATTAATGCAAACCAAATTTTTCCAGAAGAAGGAGGATATTATCTTTGTTCAAAGATCTTTTCGATTTTGTTTTTAGTTGTGCTGAACTGACTGCGATTAGTTGCCAGCATACATCAGTTTCCATACTAAAAGTCCAAAATGTGACACAAGTTACAAAGTGTAGAGATAAATTTGAGAAAATCATGTTAAATGGTTTTAAAATCTCTTCATTACGGATGGACTTCTACTGCTAGACATAGGCCTCCCCCAAGGTTCGCTATATTGGATCCTACGCCGCCCACATCCAGTGATTTTCCACGACCTTCAGCAAATCGTGAGTTCACCGTGGGATCATAACCCACGCTGTATCTTCCAGAACGATTTGGTCCAAACGGACATCAGAACCTCGCAACCCTTCAGGCTATTTCAGTTACCATGTTTCTCCTGCAAATCTCTTCATGCCTCATTCGACCTGGCCGGAAAATTCTGGAACACATATTTGCAAAAACTCGCTTGATAGATCTCAAGTATTGTATAGCTCTCAAATAGACAGAAAACCGGCTTCGTCCTCATCCCTACTACGTGATGTTTGCTGGATGAGTGGTGACCGACTATCAATCGATCAGCTATCCTGGCGGGGATAGCTGATCGATTGATAGTTGATTAGTAGTCGACCGGTGAGGGCGGGAGATCAAATTCAATTTAAAAAAAAACATAATTAAAGGAACTTGAATTTATAAACTCTGAATAAGAATTTATCGTCCTACAATTATAATATTTGATTGCCATCTTGCAACCTTATTGCAGATCTGTGCATAGAATAAAAAAAATATTAATCGGGATGGAAAAATAGGGGTTGATCGTATAAGAGTGAAAATTGAAAGTAATATGATTTTTTTTATTTAAGTCATGACAAAACAAAATAAAAAACTTGCCAAAAAAAATTAAAGTTTATAATTAACAAATAAAAAAATAGGGGTTGATCATAGAGGGATGAAAAATTGAGAGTAACATCAGATTTTTTATTTTAATTCATGACAAAATAAAAATAAAAATGAAAATCTTGCCAAAAAAATAAAGTTTTTAATTATCAAATAAAAAATAAGGGTTGATCGTAGAGGGGTAAAATTTAGGGTTGTATGCATTTTTGTATGTTGTATCATAAAAAAATAGAAATTAAAAATTTTGTCTAAAAAATAAAAATAAAAATTTAGGGGGATGAAAAATATATGTTGGCCGATTCTCATAGATACCGGATAAGCACAAAAAATTTCATCAAAATCGGTCAAGCCGTTTCGGAGGAGTATGGCAACGAAAACTGTGACACGAGAATTTTATATATTAGATAGAAGATTAAGTTCAAAATCTAAATCGTGAAACTTGCATTGATAAATAGTTTGATGTCATTGTGTCATAAGAAAGTTTAGAATACAAAAGCGGTAGATAGGACTCAAGTGATTTCATGGGCGTCGTAGCGATACTGTAGATATCTACATTTGAAACATAGGTGAATGGTATAGCTTCTCGGTTCCCCTAAAGTTATGTGGTATCAGAGCCGATAGAATCGCCTTATGTGGCGGGTAGCCATCATACAACGCAAGATAATTGACAGATGCCTGAATCTCGCTTACGATATTTTCAAGATAAAGCGCATATATACAAGTTCCGAACAATAACATTTGGACCGTCGGTCTACCGAGCAATATCACCCGCTCGGTGGAAGATCTTCCCTTTGTCGTATATATCTCCCCAAACTGGTGACTCCGACGTGATGTGAACACGCAACCTTCTGATTCATCATCAGCGCATCAAGAACTTCGGCTACCACAATTCCCGCATTCTCNTTCACCGTGGTTCTGCTTAACCCCATCTGAAGGGCCAACAGTTTCTGCTTACGTTTGGGATTTCTTTGAATTCGGGCCTTCACAGCTTTTATCACTGCTGGAGTCCTAACAGACCGAGGGCGACCACTTCTTGACCTGTCATCTACACTAGAGTCTTCATTGTATCGTTTGATGGTACGATAAACGAATCTTTTGGTTACATTAAAAAATTTCAGTATGTTAAAAATTTGAATTGGCGCGTAACCGCAACGATGCAACGCAATAACTGCAACACGGTCTTCTTTAAGCGTCCACTCCATATTTAAAAATGAGTAAAATTCTGTAAAGTATACATTTTTATTTTCATGAACAATTCGAAATTCGAATTCTATAAACTTTTTTGTGGCCAGCATTCTAAAAGAAAAGTTTTTACTGTGTGACAATACTTATGACCTGACTAGGTATCAATCATGGGTCCGTTTTGAAGAGTCGGAGAGAGTTTTTACACAATCACAAATGAGACCTCATTCTGTGGGTGAAGGAGTTTGTTTTGTGATGTCTATGGACTTAATATGATATGGCTCTGGACTCGTTTTTAAATATTATTGTTACAACGAAGTTGGTTGGGATATGGTCCACTTATTGGTGAGTGGTCACTGCCGCTCACGAATGTCAATAATACCAGAGCATAGCCTAGCTATGACCTGCCGTTGAAGATTCTCCTCAAATCACGTTGGAGTAGGACATGTTGGAACACTCAAAGAATTCTAAAGGGGAGGCAGGAAAGGTCTTTGGAAAATGTTTTTTTTTTTTCTTAGTTGGATGGACTGCCTACCTGATGTGAAGTGGTTACTGGAGCCCATAGACATCTATCTACAACGTAAATGCGCCACCCACCTTGAGATATTATAAGTTCTAAGGTCTCAAGTCTAGTTACAGTATGGCTCGTACCCAGCATTCTAAAAAAATATATATTTTAGTCAGAAGGCTATAAATACCTTTCTTAGCTTCCATGAGTAGATGGATCATGTCAGGTCTGATAATGTTTTGTGCTTCCCTGTTCTTCATGGTGCCCAAGATCAGCTCCCTGAAGAAGGTTTTGATTTCTTTTTGAAACAGCGTAATGCGTAGAATCTTTAACAAAATAACGCGTTACTTAGGTAGTTATTCCCGTCGCTTATAGATCTCAACAACAGACAAGAGCGGCCTAACAGCGAGGACTCCTTTGAAATTTTGCTTGCGGTACGTGACGAAAATGATCTTGGGATAGGACCTAGTGATAATTGTTGTGGTGGTAGCCATCATATAACACAAGATGTTTGATAGATGTCTGAATCTCGCTTACGACATTTTCAAGATACGCTCGCATATAGTATATAAGTTCCAAACAACAAAATTCGGACCGTCCTAGCCCATTAACTTTCATCATTTGTTAGCATCACTGACCCTAGCAAGAGCAGTGCTTCGCAGAATCTACCACCGGACCGGAAACGCGATCCACTGAGAAGATCCGGCGAGAAACTCAGTGGGCTGTATCTATGGGTTAATTCGCTCGTCGAGCCCTCGCCGCAAGCGACGGGTTCGACGAGGACGGTGACCGGAGTGTAGTCCACACACATTACAGTCTAACAGCGATAGGTGCTGGGTAGCGATGGCGATACTTAAAGTATGCTGATGACCATTCTCCGATATATTCTTAGTCCTCGCTTTGAATCACTGGTGCAAATTGACGGTTCTATTGTTGAAAGACTCAGATAAATGAATTCATTAAAAATTTGCTAGATGAAGAACGAGTATGGATACTAAACTTTTGTAAATTAGGCACTCATTCAAAATGAATCAATCCTACAAAATTTGTTGAGGATACCTAATTGTTATTTAATTTGACTCTTTTTTTCTATAAGTTTAATCTACTGTTTCTCGTCGACTTAATAACACAACGCAAAAAAGTACAAATAACATATCTGCACAATTATTTTTCGATTTTAAACTCATAGCGAACAAAAAACGTTTTTCTGCTAAATCCATTCCAAAATACTTCTTCTCAGTCGTTCACTCCTGGTGGAGTGGTCGTGGTTACGTAAGTCTTAATATTTGGTTGCGGCTTTTGAGAGACTTCTCCATCTTTCTCTATTTGTGGCGGTACGTGTACACTCAGTCTACAACTACTACTACAACTGTCTACTCAGTACAGTCAGTCAAAAATACTACTATACTGAATATTATTCATCATTAGTGAAACACAAGCCATGGTCTATGTGGATGACAGCGCGCTCATTAAAAAGTCCCGGTTACATCAAATCAGCATTGGAGACAAGTTTTGGAAAACCGTAGTAGTAGGTCTTACTTCTACCACTACTTCTCATACTCTAGAAGCATGATCAATTGATGAAAGATCTGAGATAAGTGATAGCGGTCAATCTGAACCTAATTTTGGTGAATCGTTATGAAACAAAAGTGAGTTACCACTCAGTTTTTTTTTTGAGCATAAAAGACACGCAATCTTGTGGATTCTCTTCTCGCGAAGGGAGAAGAGAATCAGCATATTGATGGCAATATTGGTGAAGGAATAACATCGTGTAGCCTTAAAAATTAAGCCCGCAAAATTGTAATTTGCGTAATTACTGGTGGTAGGACGTCTTGTGAGTCCGCACGGGTAGGTACCACCACCCTGTCTATTTCTGCCGTAAAGCAGCAATGCGTTTCAGTTTGAAGAGTGGGGCAGCCCTTGTAAAACTATACTGAGACCTTAGAACTTGATCTAGAAGATTGCACAAAGTGGGAATGAGTTGCTCACTCCGGGCATTTTAATATTGCAATAATTGTTACGTTATAATACTCTTTGTAAAAATTTATATGTCGTCGCGGCGCTTAACCACGACATATATTTAAAAAAAATCCAATATTAAAAAAAAGAAAAAACAAAAAAGACAATATGCCCGCTGAGTTTCTTGCCAGTTCTTCTCAGGACGGAGGCTAGTTCTTGTGAATTGGCGGTAGTTCTTTTTGACGTTCAACAAGTATGTACTTTCATTTATGTTGAATAAAAAAACTTTGATTTGATTTGATTTGATTCGATCGTTATTGATTGAATTTATTAGTTTGTCTAGTGATGTTTTTTCATTTTCCCGTTATCGTATGTATACATGACGCTCCGTAATGCGCCACAGACCATCAAGGTCAGAAACCATTCAAATATTATCTGGTCAATGAACTGTAATTATCAAATAACAAAGGAATCTTTCAAATGCGATTTGCTGATGTTATTTACAATGCGACATTACTGCAGAGTGACCTGCGATCGTGAACACGAAGTGACAACAAAAGCTGAATTTGGTTATAGCATATTGCAACTGAATATGAGCTTTTTTATGATTGAAGGATTACTGGTAGCCCGGAGCCCTTTCCAGTTTCACCAGGACGGGTGGGCGAGCAAAGGCTCAGCTAGGAGGGGTGGGATTTGCTAACAGCTGCTCGAGCGCCTCCGAAGGAGACCTAACAACTCAAGAGCAACTGCTTCGCGAATGAATCTACTACCGGATCGGAATCGCGACCCACTGAGAAGATCCGGCGAGAAACTCAGCGGGCTGATGCATTGGTTAGGTTGCACATCGACCTCTTTGTCGAGTTTGACGAGTACGGTTACCGGAGATGAATATGAGCTATGTGCTAATGCAGGAAGGCTTGCCACATTATTAGTCAAGCCATATGGATATTGTTGGCATCACAAGTATTGCGTGAAAAATTCAGCAAACGAAGCTCAATAACTTCTAATAAATAAACAAAGTTAGAGTAGAAAATCTAACATAAATTATTATTGGAAAAAAAGCGAATGCTAAGGTTTTCTTAAAAATACGTTAACATATTTTAACGTATTTATTAACATGTCCTACAAATTTGTAAAGCACTGGGAATTTTAGAAGAATTTAAGTATGCATGTACTGGCTATATAGAAACTATTTTTTTGGAACTGTTTTTATAGAGTACCGTAGCGAAATGTCGTGGCATATTGCAAGCGTTCAATAATGATGAATCGGTGTTTTTCACGTAATAGCAATAGTCAGAGCGGAACCTGACCTTGATTCGGTAGTACACAATAATGTATGAACACTACTTTAGTGTTTGATACGAGTTTTAGGATATGCGAGGATAAAGAATTTTTATTATTTTTATAAAAATACTAGCTGACCCGACTTTTGTATAATATAAACTTAAAACAAACAAAAGGAATTTTTCCGACGGTGGACACATCAAAGGAAAATCAAAATTGTTATTTTTATTTATATCCGAGCATTTTCATATTTATCTACCTTTTAAACCTTCTCTGGACTTGCACAAATAATTCAAGACCAAAATTAACCAAATCGGTCCAGCTGTTTTCGAGTTTTAGCGAGACCTAACGAACAGCAATTCATTTTTATATATATACATTTTTTTATCAAGCGAGTTTTTGCAAAATATGTGTTCCGGAATTTTCCGGACAGGTCGAATGAGGCATGAAGAGATTTGCAGGAGAAACATGGAAACTGAAATAGCCTGAAGGGTTGCGAGGTTCTGATGTCCGTTTGGACCAAATCGTTCTGGAAGATACAGCGTGGGTTATGATTCCACGGTGGACTCACGATTTGCTGAAGATCGCGGAAATTCACTGGATGTGGGTTACGCAGAACTCAATATACTGAACCATGAGGCAAGCCTATGTCCAGCAGTATACCTCCGTGAACGATGAAGAGATTATAAAACCATTTAACATATTTTTTTCGAATTTAGTTGTGCAGTTTATCACTTGTGTCCTATTTTGGAAACTAAGTACCGAAACCTGATGCATGTTGATGCTGGGAATTAATCGCAGTCAGTTAAGTACAACCAAAAACATAAATCTTGAAAAAGATAATTCTCCTTCCTCTAGAAAAATCTGGTTTGCATTAATTGACATAGTTAATATTTGTGTAAAATGTAAATAAATATATAGACAAGTAAATAAAAGATATTCCCCTTTCGGACTACGTGTTGCAAAACGTATTAGGGATAAAGTACTCCAAGACTTACCTTCACAAGCTTCGGGACAGATGCGAGACCAAAGAAAATTAGAAGCTGCCTGAAGTTGAAAGTGGAAGCGGCTTTTCCCATCGCGTAGAACTGGTTGTTCTCCTCGGTGATGGAGTCGACCTTCAGACCGAAGGCGCAGGACGCGATCACATCGTTGGCGTATCTAGTGGTCAGGTCTTTGGAGTCGATGTCCACATAGCCAACTGTCAAAGTGATGACGTTACATCCAACGTAAGTTAAGTTCAAGTGACATTGTTACAGAAGAGCTATTTTATTTATTAACTAGCAGACCCGGTCACACGTTGCTGTGGCTAAGGTTTTTGTTTCTAAATAACACGTGGCCTGCTATGCTAACACCAAAAATTTAAAAAGTAGAAACAAATATGTAGAATTTCACGGTATTTCATTTACTACAAAATAACTTATACTTAAGCCTTTAACTAATAACACGTGGTGGTTATGTTATTAAATTGTAGCTTATATGACACATTTGTAAGTTTAACATAGCAGCGCCATCCATTGATTACTTACTCAATCCAGTCAACAGATATCGCCATCTGTTAAAATCGTAAGATGTAAGTCCTATCTTTCAAGTTGGATCAAATTGCACACGGTGAGCAAATTTAATTTAAAATCGGTTACGTAGTTTAGGAGTCCATCGCGGACAAAAAACGTGACACGTGATTTATATATATTAAGATAAATATGAAAACAGAAAATACTCTAAACTCAGCGAAAATACTCAAAATATTCTAAACTTTTTACTGGTGGCAGGACCTCTTATGAGTCCGCGCGGGTAGGTACCACCGCCCCGCCTATTTCTGCCGTGAAGCAGTAAGGCGTTTCGGTTTGAAGGGTGGGGCAGCCGTCGTTACTATACTTGAGACCTTAGAACTTGTATCTCAAGGTGGGTGGCGCATTTACGTTGTGGATGTCTATGGGCTCCAGTAACCACTTAACACCAGGTGGGCTGTGAGCTCGTCCACCCATCTAAGCAATAAAAAATAAATAAATAAAACATGAAAATATACGTAACATACATGTAATACAATAAAACAAAAATGTGTAATAAATTAATATGAGAACACCTAGTAAGGGCTCAGTGTAAGGTTCTACTGGCAATTCCGTTATGACGTTTGTTTTATTACTTAGACTGGTGATCGAGTCGATCGACAACCCACCTAGTGTGAAGTTGCTACGGGAGCTCATAGACACGTACAGAGTAAATGCCGCCTGTAGTAAGTAAATGTGCGGCATGACTTCTAAGTGGTGCTTTCATCAGTAATTATTGAACAGTATCTTTTTTCTTATTTTTTATTGCTTAGAAGGGTGGACGAGCTCACAGCTCACCTGGTGGTAAGTGGTTACTGGAGCCCATAGACATCTTCAACGTAAATGCGCCACCCACCTTGCGATATGAGTTCTAAGGTCTCAGTATAGTTACAACGGCTACCCCACCCTTCAAACCGAAACGCATTATTGCTTCACGGCTGAAAATAGGCAAGGCGGTGGCACCTACCCGTCCGGACTCACAAGAGATCTTACCACCCGTAAGTCTAATCTTAGTAATCTATCTATCTATCTATCTATCTATCTAATCTATCTCAGTAATCTTACCCCCTGCTTCTTGTATCCTCTGCTTTAGCGCTTTATTCATCTGTTCTCCCACTTCAACGATGAATGGCATCATGAGCTTCATTTTGGAACTGGTGAACGCCGGCGAAAGCGTTGAGCGCATGTCTTTCCAGTCTTGATCTGAATTTATTATTTTATTAAATTCTTTATTTCAGATAATGATGCATATAAATGTTAGTAACAGTGATTTCTTAAAAATAAGTTAGTACACAGTAATAAAAGAAAACGACAACATACATACTACATACGATTGCAATAGCTAATAGCTGCATTACGAGAAAATTTTGTGGACCTCTCTGCAATGATTCAGAAAAGGTCCATCTAATCTGGAGAATATCATGGCCAGGATGCTGCTGGAGCTAGCCCCTACCCTGCAGAGCAAGGACGCGCATCGCTTTCTTAATAAGGCATAGAAATCGTCGGTGCGCGCCTCCGAAAACATTCCCGATGCGCTGCAGAATCGGGGCAGCCCCCCATCAGCATTATACTGAAACTGATGTTACTACACAGTAGTGTTTTTTTATTGCCCTTATAAGCAGACGAGCACACGGCCCACCTGATGGTGGTTGGTTACCGTCGCCCATGGACTTCAGCAATGCCACGGGCAGAGCCAAGCCTCTGTCTACCGATGCATTGTGATATCAAATGCTTAGGTCGAATTTGAAGCTAAGTGGAAATTCCTGTGAACGCAAATTGGCTGTGAAATTTACCTCTCAAGAAGAACAAGCTCCTTCCGAAGAACGGGTCGGTGTCCTTGTTGATGATAGTCCGATGGTCCAGGAAATGCTCGAAGTCCTTAACCGTGATTTTCTTCAGTAACTCAATGTCACGAATTATAACCATTGGGTTTAGAAATTCGTATCTTCCGACGAACCTTGTAACAAGGAACTCGATCAATACATTGGGATCACAGGTGTTTTAACTGAGACATGATTAATAAGGGCTTTATCATCTAACAAACTAAGATCGACAAGAAAAATTGAAAAACGGTTTCATAACAAACGAGAGCGTATTTAAATAGATTCTCACTGTTTGTCTTTGATGGCGAATGTCTAAATTCACCACGTTCTAAATACTGTCGCATTGAGATTTAGATTTGAATTATGTTATGACAATAACGGGCTATTCTACCTTTGATTGTCGTATCGAGGACTCGATACATTTTAATTACGAATTCGATAGATTTTTGTGCTTGACGTAAAGAAGTACGGGAAACAGAACTAGCTATGTAGGTATGTGTGCGGAGTGTGCGAGCTCATCAAGCGTCATACAAGCCACGAGCCAATGCCTCATTCGAGTGTCATATACAGCAATGAACAAATCGTACCTTTCCTCAGGGAATGAATTGTATAAACTTTGTATATGGTCCGAGAAATGATCCATTTTTATTACAATACGCCCCATATTGCCCAAGAACGGGAGAGGAGTGAAGCCCTTCACTCCCTGCTTGCTGAACAAAGAATAGGCTTGTTTGTAAAACAGCACGAAGGCGGCAATGAGCACTATGGCCCAAATGAGGAGAATCATTTTTCTGAAAACAAAAAAAAGAATATATATATAGAGCGTTATTTGAGTCGACTATTATCAAAGCCGGCAATCTGACTTTTGGACAATTATTGGTAAATTAGAAAAACGAATTATTGACTTTGTATTCCATTGGTAGTCACAAAACTCTCCGGAACGACATCTTAGATAAATAACAGGTTAACTATTAACCTTTATTTAATGCAGGTTTTGAACCGTATTCTTTGAAGGAGACGATTATATTCAAATCCATCTGTATTGACATATCAATAACATTTTTTTGTCCAAATGCACAGATTGCCACCTTTGATAATAGACGACTCATTTGTAAGTCCGTAGCACATTATTCACGCAAATAAATCTCTCGAACGGTCTCAAGTGTGCCTAAAATCCCATGCCATTGACCGGGCAGGCAGACCTTTCCTTCATTGCAGGAGTCCTCAACCGCAAGTTTCTCATATAAAACAACAATATTTTTAACTTTATGCTTCGTATCTCAAAGTATGTTTTGATGACGCAATTGTGTCATCACACAGGTCTTCAAAACAAACACATACCCGAGCGAAAAAATATGACTGATTTTGATAAGTGGCTTCAAGTTCTTTCACACAGAGATTTTGTTTACGTGATTGTACATAGTACGCATTTAATAGAGCAGACGTAAATTATTTGTTGATTTAAACAAGCGTAAATGCTCTCGGCTTACTTCGTGTCGAGTGAGTAAACTTGATGGAATCCCCGTATATATGAGAATTGGTTATGAATGAAATTACTGGTGATTCCCGCAGTCAATTCCATTATTCAATACTTGCCCGTACAAGGAAAAGCTAATTATTTTATTCACCACAAATCAGAGTGAGAAAATAATTGAACATATCTAAGTATTTGTTGTCTTGGATTTTGTTTCTCTTGGATTTTAGAAATACTTGTCGTTAAATTGTAAGTTTTCATACGCCAATTTCGCTCATTTCTAAGTCAAATATTTCTTGGACAAAAGATTGGTAACTGCACTCCTGTAGTATTCGTAGCTTTGGAAAAATTAAAGGCACGATCATGAACTCCGGTATCAAGCAGAGCTACCTTGACCGCCCCTGTTAATCAGTTTGATATGATTAAAAATGAAAGAAGTACCTCGATTGCTTGTAACTCAAATAAGTTGACCTTGTTTCATTAGGTTAATCACTAGAAGCAGACACTTGGCGCGGTCAACAGGAGCATTTTGGTTCAATTTAAGCGAATTTGTAGAATAGTCGGCGCTAATTTGAAGTTTTATGAGCATTTCGCGTCTACATTCTTGTGTCTCTCGAAATTTACATTAAAAAAAACATTGAATTTGTTCATCGGATGATTTATATTTTTTATTGCTTAGATGGGTGGACGAGCTCACAGCCCACCTGGTGTTAAGTGGTTTCTAGAGCCCATAGACATCTACAATGTAAATGCGCCACCCACCTTGAGATATAAGTTCTAAGGTCTCAATATAGTTACAACGGCTGCCCCACCCTTCAAACCGAAACGCATTACTGCTTCACGGCAGAAATACGCAGGGTGGTGGAACCTACCCGTGCGGACACACAAGAGGTCCTACCACCACTAAGACTGGCTCGCAAGCGAGATATATAAATGAAGGATATTAAAAGAACGATGTCTACGCGAACATCTTTAATTTGAAGATCCTTAAGTCTATGTTTAACCTTTATACTTATAGATTCATTTCGTACATAGCGCATATTTGATGATTAAGAAATAGGAAAGAGTGAAAAATTCGTACAGTCAGATCAGACGTGTGCCGTGAGCGAGTAATAACCGAATGAGTAACAAAAAAAAGTTTACGTAATAAAGAACAATATGGGTTGCATTGATTATTACCATTGATATAAAAAAAATCCGTAGTTTTAGGTTTTTCTGTATTTCGATACAGTATCAAGGTGTGGTTAGATCCGTGCATTGTTGAACTTAATCACCAATACTTTCTAAGCCTTCCAATATAATCTGATGCACGTCGCATACATACAGCTGTATAATACTTCTATATTCGACAATGACAGTCCTAAGCTTCTTAAAAATATTTGATTTGGCTAAAGTCATCGAAAATAATATAAGTAGTCACTGCTTTACTATATCTCACTCTGGGCAGAAGTTTGACTCTATAAAACAAACAGTTCAGTTTCAGAAAAATATTTTTAGAGACAGGACTAAGAACTTAAGGATAAAGCAAAAAAAAATGATTGAAATTTATCCACTAGAATTAGCGTGACGCGGACTCAACGAGAGACCTCAGCAATTTAATTTACAGACATGAAATAGAGCGAAAAATAACATCTATAATTATTTGCTAATTTACCTTTGGTATAATTATACTCGTAATCTGGTCACTAATACAATAATAAATGTTATCAAAAGTCACCGATCAAATAAAATATTTCTTACTTCAGATTAACGTGCTCACAATCGAACACACGGTCATCAAATGATGTGTTTAACCTTGAAATCACTCTTATAATCAGAATATCTATTTGTTTTAATGAAAAAGATTGTTTGGCGGTTCCGAAAGGTCGTTCTGAGAGCTTATCTTTGGCAGTGTTTTGACAGAAAACACAGGCTGTGTGATAACCCTAAAGGGATTTTTCTAGGCACATAGAACCAATAATAGGACTAGGTAAATCTTCTATATATATTATTCGATTTGTATTTCTCTGTATGCTCCTTATATAACGGCCTAACCCATTTTTAGGCAACGTGAAAATTACCGGATCAATTAGTTAATTTTGGTGGTATTCGGATCAAAGTCAAATCAAAATTTGCCAACAAATCGGGTTGGGCTTGGCTAGTATTTAATGCGTTCTTCTGTCCCAAAGGAAAATGAAAAACTGTGCCGCAACTCCAACAGGCTTTTTGCAAGCTCTCAAGTGGTAATATAATGCAAAAAAAAACGGATATAGGCTTTACTTCCCTGAAATATATATGGTACATGAGTGTAGATGGACATTTTTGCTTCTGCATATTTGATATGTTGATGGGTATTGTAAAGTTTCTCAGATTGGGATCGTATTGGAGTCGTAATACAATTTACTACTGTCCTATATATCACAGTGTAAATATATTTGCTTCACAACAATACTACGTTGTTGGCACCTTGTCGGTAATGACGCTTCTCTGGATCCGAATGAACAAATATATAAAGAAAAGTATTGGTGGTTTTGAACATTGGCGTCAATAATTTTAAGAGTTTACTATTGCTTTTTGAATGTATGCCGCTTATAGAATCCTTCTATCAATATAACCCGTAAAGGCTCACAAATACGGAATGAAAATTTATAAGCTTTGCACAGAAGAAGGATTTATCTAGAACTATGTAATTTCCACCACCTTGAGTTTGTTAATCTGGATAAGCCGAGAATCAGTAAGTATCATATTTCAGTTATTTGATGAACCTCTAGAAGCTGAAAGGATATTTGTTTGTAACAACTTCTACAACAGTGTAGAACTGTAGAACTGTGTACAAAAATATTTACTGGTGGTAGGACCTCTTGTGGGTTCACGCGGGTAGGTACCACCACCGTTCCTATTTCTGCCGTGAAGCAGTAATGCGTTTCGGTTTGAAGGGTAGGGCAGCCGTTGTAACTATACTGAGATCTTAGAACTTATATCTCAAAAAGGTGGGTTTTTTTTTCCACATGAGAAAATCGCCGGATCCCCACCCGCACGGCAGGTGGGGTATGTGGGAGTCGAACCTCACTAAAAATTCCTGCCGTTCACAGCCGGCGCCCTACCCCGGACCGGGCGGGAACCCAGTCGGAGCTATTGAGACGGCGGGACAGGGTTTACGCAGAGCATATTACATCCATCCCGCCGTGCCCCAGACGCCGGACTTGCGGCCGCCAGCAACATGACCGCTGGTTCCCTCGGTCGAGGCGCATTTACGTTGTAAATGTCTATGGGCTCCAGTAACCACTTAACACCAGGTGGGCTGTGAGCTCGTGCACCCATCTAAGCAATAAAAAAGTCATTGTTGTAAATATTTTTTAGTATTGCATTGAGTAGACCTTCCGTGGGCAATAAGGCACAATGAAAATGGATCACCAGACAGACGCCTTACCATCAGTAATTACGCAAATGAAAATTTTTGCGGTTTTCATTTATATTACACGATGTTACTCCTTCATCATCCATCATCTCTGAACATTTTGTTAAGTACAGATTTCATTACAAAAATTAGTACCTATCTGCTGGATTCAAACACCGGCATAGTCGCATCGTTCAATACGAATGCATCAGACGTTTTTTCTTTTAGAGCACGACGATTTCATTATTAACAGTTCAATAGGAAATCATTTCTAATTTCATAAATAAATAATAGTTTAAAAATACTAACAAAATACGCTTTTAGAGAAAATCCAACTAAAAAATAGAAAATAAATTTGAATTAAAAATAGTAGTCCATCTTGCAGGGTCATGGAAATAGGTCTCTCGTGAGCTAGTTCGGATATACCTACTTTGTAGACAGAGAAGCATAAAGCCCATTTGATGATGAGTGTTTATCGTCACTCATGGATGTCAGCAATGCTAGGGATACTACCAAGTTGCCAAGTTTTGGGTAATTAATTCTTAGGGCCATTGAAACATACAGCGAAGGTCTTAGATACATCGTAGACTTATTTTTGCAGTTTTTTAGTGTACTATATTAAACTGATTTATAGAACATAGCTTAATTGCAAACTTTAAATAATATTTATTTTCTATTTACTTGGAATACTAATTATAGTTCCAAATCCTAAGAATATTCAAGTAAATTGTGCTGTGACNGGTAATTAATTCTTAGGGCCATTGAAACATACAGCGAAGGTCTTAGATACATCGTAGACTTATTTTTGCAGTTTTTTAGTGTACTATATTAAACTGATTTATAGAACATAGCTTAATTGCAAACTTTAAATAATATTTATTTTCTATTTACTTGGAATACTAATTATAGTTCCAAATCCTAAGAATATTCAAGTAAATTGTGCTGTGACATGCAGACAAACAGATTAACAGGAATAAATTATAAAGTTTCCATTTTATTTGGTTATTTGTAAAGTAACAGAAGTAAAACCTAGAACTGATGGATCTGAATGTTAAAAGCTGATGACATGAAAGTATTATTTTGAAATAAAAATTTATTTACAGACATTAAAAAAAACAGTATAATTCAAACGTTTCCCACAAAACATTTTATAGTAAAATTATCAATGTTAATTTTCTATGAAATTTTAGTTGATTCAATGGTGATATCTTTCTTAGTCACCTATCATAATTACAGTGAATTTTTGATCAATCTCTAATCTTTAGCCTGACCCAATGACCACCTTCAAGACGAAGGTTGAAGATCTCCTTGCTGAGCTTCGAGGGGATGCACGTCTTCTCGCACGGAGATATCTCCATATGCTGGAGTAGCTGGTATGCCATCACTTTGACTTCGCATAAAGCAAACCTGGAACCTGGTAGAAAAAAAATGTTAATGTAAAAAATGTTAAAACAAAGGTTTGATACTTCCAACCATGTTTGACTTCAGGTAAGCATTTTGTTAAAAAGCGAACAATACCTGTTACTATAGTTAAAATATAGAAACTTTCAAAAATAATAACAATAAAAAAAATCACAAGAAAATCAGCTTTCTATATTTTACCTGGATAATCCTTACCTATACAGTTCCTAGGTCCCACACCAAAGGGTAGATACGTGAAAGGCTTGATGTTGTGTTTGTTCTCCTCTGAGAACCTTTCGGGATCGAATTTCAGGGGGTCCGGGAAGAATTCCGGGTTTCGGTGAAAAGCCCATACGGGAATAGCTACACCCGTACCTTTGCGAAGCTAGAAGAGTCCAGATGTAGAAGCGTGTAACATTTCAAAATACAGTTATCAGTATAGCTTAATTGGCAGCGCCTTAGTTATGCCACTGCCATTTTCCATATCCACGAGTGACGGTGATTACTCGCCAATATGTGGGACGTATACCTGTCTACAAAGCCAATCACAAAAGAAAGTGTAGAGGACCTCACAAAGGTTTTAAGCTATTGCATAGCTTTTATCGCAGTCTTTGAGCTCGGCGCCCGAATCAAGAAATTCCGTAACGAACTCGTCGTGGCCTAACGGATAAGACGTCCGGTGCATTCGTGTTGAGCGATGCACCGGTTTTAGAATCCCGCAGGCGGGTATAAATTTTTCTAATGAAATATGTACTCAACAAATGTTCACGATTGGTTTCCACGGTGAAGGAATAACATCGTGTAATAAAAATGAAACCCGCAAAATTATAATTTGCGTAATTATTGGTGGTAGGACCTCTTGTGAGTTCGCGCGGGTGGGTACCACCACCCTGCCTATTTCTGCCGTGAAGCAGTAATGCGTTTCGGTTTGAAGGGTGGGGCAGCCGTTGTAACTATACTTGAGACCTTAAAACTTATATCTCAAAGGTGGGTGGCGCATTTACGTCGTGGATGTCTATGGGCTCCAGTAACCACTTAACACCAGGTGGGCTGTGAGCTCGTCCACCCATATAAGCATTAAAAAAAAAACCTAACACCCCCCACTTCGCCTACCATGTAGCTCGCGTTTAACACATTCACACGTTGCGCTCGTATAGTGTTTGCGAATAAGCGCGTGGCGTGTCGTCGCACTGCATGCGCATCATGAAAAGCCTGCCCATCTCTATCTCGCGCGGTCTAGCTTATGAGTGTGAAGGGGACAGTTAATGTTTTGCTTTTGTTAATGTTTATAAATATAGCGTGATCTTATTTTATTATTGTTCTAAAAGTAAATTATTATTGTCTAATTATAATTGACTAAGTTGATGACAAATGCTACGCAAAAGCTTTACCGCGGCAGTCCCCGAGTGCCACACGTGCTTATTATTTTTTTTCACGCACGCCGCCTGTACATGGGGGTGGTGCGGTCGATGGCACTATACGGTGCTCCGGTATGGTGCCAAGCCCTGACCCGCAAGAACGTCTGAGGATACCGCACCGTCTCCTACGAGGTGGCGTGCTTGCTCGCCGGGGCGCCACCTTGGGACCTGGAGGCGGAGGCGCTCGCTGCCGATTACAGGTGGCGTAGCGACCTCCGCCCTAGGGGGGAAGGGCGCCCTGGGGAAGGTGTAGTTCGAGCGCGGAGGCCCCAATCTCGGCGGTCCGTGCTGGAGGCGTGGTCTCGCCGCTTGGCGGACCCGTCGGCCGGCCTCCGTACCGTCGAGGCAGTCCGCCCGGTTTTCGCGGACTGGGTGGGCTGCGACCTCGGACGTCTCACCTTCCGGCTTACGCAGATGCTTACCGGCCACGGATGTTTTGGCCGGTACCTTTTCAAGATAGCCGGAAAGGAACCGACGGCGCAGTGCCACCATTGCGCAGACCGCGACGAGGAAGACACAGCGGAACACACATTGGCGCGTTGCTCTGGATTCGACGAGCAACGCGCCGCCATCGTCGCGGTCATAGGAGAGGACCTCTCGCTGCCGCGCGTCGTGGCTACAATGCTCTGCAGCGACGAGCCCTGGAAGACGATACTCGACTTTTGCGAGTCCACCATCTCGCAGAAGGAGACGGCGGAACGAGAGAGGGAGAGCTCTTCCCTTTCCGCACCGATCCGTCGCCGTCGAGCCGGGGCCGGTGGAGGGAATACGCCCGTACGTCCTGGCCCCTGTAGGTAGCGGTCTCGCCCCGGTGAAGGTCAAGGGACAACCTAAGGGGGTAGAGGCCGCGCGGCGCGCTACCAACACTCTAGCGCGCTGCCGAGGAGTAATAGAGCGACCGGCAGACGGTGTATCGCGTCCCGATCCGGCAGGCTGGTTCAGGTCCAGCGGGGTATTCCGGGACACCAGCGGCACCATCTAGGCGGCCTGACGGGCTGCCGTACCGAGACGGCTGACGTTTCCGAGCTTTCGATTCGCCTCGAAGGCTCCGTCGGCTGGGAGTCTTTGGGGTGAGCCGCGCCGTCTGGTTGTAGTGTTGACCGCGGTAACCCCCCTACCTCATTCGGGTTCTGGCCTCGAAGGGGATCGGACGTTGGGTGTAAGAGTGCAGGGGAGTCGTTTAGTGGGTGGGCCCTAAAATCCTTGGGCCTGCGGTCTGCTCACAACACCATGCAGATCGTTGAGTCTCACATACCCCGCGCGCCCCCAAGGCGCGGGGATCTCTTAGGAGGTTCGGCACCCGGCCCGAAAAAAAAAAGGGTCCTTAGCATTTTGTTGTCCAAGGTTCACGAGTTAGGCAATTAAGAAATCTAATAATCGAGGTTTGGGACTTACTATGAAGTCTCTTTTGGCCTTGTCATTTGGTTTCCCCAAGTTGTAGTCTTGAACGCAGATTCTATCCATGGAGACAGCTGGCGCCCACAGCCTTAGGAGTTCTAAAATAATTAAGATTCACAAATGGTTATATCTTAAATTCACTTTATTCCCAATTTTTTTTCTTAATAAAAAGCTATGAAAAAAAAATATTACGCTAATGCATCTTAGCCTTGATTATCCGGTACTATCACAATAGAAATGTTGTCATTGAAGTTTGTCTTAATAATTTCATGGTTGATATGGTCATTAACTAAATGAACGTTCTAAGTATTAAACTATAGCCTTTACTATAACTTTCCAATTACTTACTAACCAGTAGTATAAGATCTTAGTTTAATATCTAACTTTGTCTAACCCTACTCCTAAACAGGGTAGCATTCGTAGTTATGTACCATCTATACTAGTTATATATTATCTACAGTGGTTTTTACGGATGTTCCGTTTTAATTACTGAACCATGCATCCGATTGGCTTGAAACTCGGTATCCATGTAGAAAATACATGTACTTAATGGATAGGCTAATATTTATATGAGTGTTGGACTCCCTACACCAGTTGCGGGGACGTTAATGATGAGAATCTTTGTGGGGGTGAGAAATAATAATGTTAGCTTTAAATGCCCAGCGAAACGGACGGCTACAGCTAGTCGAAGATATTTCTCAGGTGAAAGAATCACATGATTGATGAAACATTTCGGTCTCAAGATCTTGATTTTTCTGCCATAGTAAAACAAATAAAACTGCGCAGTGTATTCTACGCGATTATAAAACAGAACTACCTGAAACAACCATATCCAAATACGCCATATTCTGTATGGAGTTATAGTCAAATTTTCCATTGTTCCTCTCCTTGTTTTCCTTGATTTCTTCAACCAATTTGTCTTGTACTTCTGGGTTGAGAGCCAATTCGTGAAGGAGGAACGTCATTGCCGATGAAACGGTCTCAAAACCAGCAATGAAGAAAAGAACTGCTTGAGCGATGATGTCGTCATCAGTCCAGACTGCAATTAAACCCCCTTGAATTTATGGTTTGCTTTAGAAGCTAGTGATGTCATAAACACGACGAACAAAAGCATGAGCTTACGAAGGAATTTAAAGTCTCTTTGCGCTGGGGACCCTATGTTGTATGAGGAGCACTCTTAGGAATGTTTTTTTTTTTATTGCCCTTGTAGGCAGACGAGCATATGGCCCACCTGATGGTGAGTGGTTACCGTCGCCCATGGACTTCAGCAATACCAGGGGCAGAGCCAAGCCGCTGCCTACCGCTTAATACTCTCCACAAGCCTCGTTTGAAGAAGGACATATCATAGCGCTCAGGAAACACCGTGGAGGGGAGCTCATTCCATAGCCGGATGGTACGTGGCAAAAAAGATCTCTGGAAACGCACTGTGGATGACCGCAGTGGCTCCAGGTAGTATGGATGAACTCTACTCCGGTGGCGGGCGGTGCGATGGTAAAAACGAGATGCCGGTATCATCTCGAACAATTCCTCAGAGCACTCCCCATGGAACANGGTAGTATGGATGAACTCTACTCCGGTGGCGGGCGGTGCGATGGTAAAAACGAGATGCCGGTATCATCTCGAACAATTCCTCAGAGCACTCCCCATGGAACATACGGTACAGAATACAGAGGGAACCGAAGTCCCTCCGCAGACCCAGAGGCTCCAAACGATCCGTGAGAATGGGATTATCGACAATCCGAACGGCCCTTTATCTCTACAACTAGAAACTTGAGGTCCAAGTACGGAGTGTCCCGTCGTCGTTTGAAATTATCCCGTAATATTTTTTTTACTATTGTACTACTCGTTGCTGTAACAAAGTTCATCTTTGAAATATTGCATTCACCCACAATGCATTTTCCGATCATTTTGTCTTCGATGATGCTATGAAATTTCTAACGAGGTCTGAATAGTGTACTGAACGGTGGGCATTGCTGGTGTCCATGGTTAACATAAACAGCTCACTATCAGTGACGAACCCTCTGTCCACTGAATTCATTCATTAGTCTCACCTCTATCGATTTGTTTTTTGCCAACAGCAGATTCTTCTACCGTGGCGAATCCGGCATCTGTGTCTTTGCTTGATTTATTGTCGTGAACTAATTTTCCTGCGAATAATTTTTTAAAGTCATTAGATGGTTAAGAATTGATTTAGCTTGATATTTTCACTCGAGCACGACCCTAGAAGATGCCTGAACTTGTTACTTATTACGTGGTCGAATTCCATGGACATATTAATATACATATCCCCCACCCACCTTGAGATGTGAGATGGGGGTCTTCATTGTATAACGACTGTCCGACCCTTGAAACTACTTCGCAGCAGAAGAAATCAGGATGGTGGTGTAGAATGGTTCGAGATAACAATACGCCCTACCGCCAACAGTATTATTTAATCCCGTATGTATAAAAATTATCAATTTACAAACTAATATAGAATTATTAATCCTTAAACATCTCAATAACTTCCTGACAATAAAGGTAATCAAATTGCATTTTGCCAATCAATAATGTCTCTTTATTTACAGAAAAACTATAAAGTACCTTTCTTAGCTTCCATGAGTAAATGTATCATGTCTGGTCTGATGATTTTCCGCATTTCTCTGTCCTTCATGGTGCCCATTATCAGCTCCTTAAAGAATCCGGACGTTTCTTCGGAGAACAGTCTGAATTTCGTCATCTAGAATAGTTATTTTTTTTAAATATAATGTACAATTAGATTTGGTATCATTTCACAGCTTTGCTATAATGTCTTGCAGTTTCAAGAAAGAACTAAATTTATTTTGAATTAGAGGAATTTTATTAGTTTTCCGATAATGTAGTATCATCATAAAACATAAAACACAAAATGTATCCTGCTGACGATAGTACAATAAAATTATCGAGCTGGTCTGATGACTGAGCTACAAAGTAGGTTGCAAGGCCTTTGAATGGATGAGAGGTAGCAAGCTTTGTTAGTTCCTTACAGTTTCATATATTTCTTCCGATAATGAGGACTTGAGAAAGTCGTGGTAGGAATAGTCCTATTTACTGCAAAGAAATGTAATGTATGTATGAAGTAGGGAAATTCTTGGACAAGGTAGGTCAAATATTACAGCACAGATTGTAAATACAAAAATAGCGATTTTACGATCGTTGTCAAGAGCGCGGCAATGGAACGACTCCCAGTAATACCCCGCTACCAGTACATATTCTATTGAACTGTTTATAAACATTATCATTTGTTAAAGACTGTATCATACAACACCATATATTTGACGGATGCCTGAATGTCGCTTACGACATTTTCAACATAAACTTGCATATATACAAGTTCCGAACAACAACATTTGGACCGTCGGTCTACCTAGCAGTATCACCCGCTCGGAGGAAGATCTTCCCTTCGTCGTTATTCCCAAAAACGTAATATGAATGGTACCACCAAATTTGAGTCCTATGCTTGATCTACTTAAGTGATGATCACCCTAGCTTATAGCCATTACAACGCGAACCTTGCCATAGGAAATATTCAAGATTACTCATAGCAACCCCTGTAATTACGCAAGCTTATTAACTACTTTAGCTTACTTCAATTTTATTAGACGTTTTATAGAGTTTTGAAAGAGACGTCAAAGATTACTTTAAGTTGGGACGTGTTGTGAGCCCACATGGGTAGATACCATTAACCTGTCTATTTCTGCCGTGAAGCAGTAACGCGTTTCGGTTTGAAGGGCGGGGCAGTTATAGTACGCTATAAGAGTGAGACTTAGAACTCAAGATCAAGTTTCAAGGCGGGTGACGGAAATTACGTTGTTGATGTTTAGTCTTCTTCTTTGTCTCCTTATCCCACTAGGTAGGGCTGCCACAGCGTATATTCTATTACATTATCTATTCTATTCTATCTCCATTCTATCAGCCTTTATCTCAAAACTCACTTCCCTCTCTCTCTCTCTCTCATATCGTCATTCACTCAATCCATGTATCCTTCGGTTTCCCCTTCTACCTATTTGTTTGTTGACGTCTATTAATTACTTCAAACCATGTGAAGCGTGAAGTCGTCCACCCATCTAAGCAATAAATAAAAAGTTCACTGACGTTACGATACGCTTAAAGGCATTCGAATTAGAATACAATTAGACAAAAACATGACGAGTCGTGCAAGTTTACACCTATGTAAGTCTTCAATAGTTTTATTAGCGATTGAATCAAAACATATTATTGTAGACACAATTTTAAATACCTACCGTTTGCCAATTGTTATGAACCTGATCTTGAAGTTCAACAATTTATCGAAGCTGATTATAATTATTTTTTTGCGGTCGAATGACCTTGGCTTGTATTTGTAAGCACGTCACATACGAGTAGTTGATTCGAATTATTCCGATTATTAATTCCGAGTATTAATTCTTCATTCAAAGAGATATTCTGCACTAATATTCTGCTGGATACCTCTTTGATACCAGTAGGTAATAAGAATTTATCGGTTTCTAAACTAATTACAATATCAACGTCGAAAATGAACATTTATAGAATGAAAAATCATATTGCGGCAAGCTAAATAGGGACCAAAGTTGTGTTACATTCTTTATTAATAGAGTGGCACTTTAATACGCAGAAACTCATTTCCCAGGCTCATAATTGTTGATTTTTTGGTAAATGGAACAAAGACAAATTTAATGAGTTGTCTTCCCTTCTTCATTGTGTCTTGTGGCATTTTGAGAATGAGAGGCGTATGCCCAGAATCGAGATAGTCAGGAGTGTTTTTCATAATTCGACACATCGACATGATTTTTCCTATGACCATATGTTTCGAAAACAACAATTTGTTTCATGATCTAAATAAAAGAATACCCGCTAGTACTACATAGATATCACATAATAAGATTTGAAAAGTTATTCTTTTCCAGTGGAATAAGATTGCGTCTCAAAAAAAACGCCCTTTTCAAAAACAGAATGGTTCACAGATGTTGGGAGCAGACCGTGGACCCCAAGGATGGTATTTAGGATCCTACGCACTAAACCACTCCTTTGTACTCTTGGAGAGGCTTCCGATGCCCCTGAAGCCAGAATCTGGGTGGGGTAAGGAGGCTACCGCGGTCAACACTGGAACCAGGCTCGCGGCTCACCCCAAGGATGTCCGGCCGATGGCTCAAAAAACGCCTGCCCATATACGTTCGCGTTCTTAGATTGTACTGGCCGTACTCGCCCGTTTCGTAGGGCATTTAAAATTAACATTATTATTTATTGTCATTATTATTAGGGAGTCCAACACTCATATAAATATTAGCCTATCCATTAAGTACATGTATTTTCTACATGAATACTAAGTTTCAAGTCAATCGGATGCATGGTTCAGTAGTTATAACGGAATTTCCGTAAAAACCACTGTAGATTTATATATTAGTATAGATTATATCACGTATTTTTTCTTTGTTGTTTCTGCAGATTTCTAAACAAGGAGTTCAAACATTATTTTGAGCGTTACATAGACGTAAAAATCACAACCGAATGTTCAAGAACTTGGCGTGTCCACTCAAAAGTTCGTGTTACAAATTTATACCCCACTTTTCCCTTAATGGCGAAGTTCTTATTTGATCTGGTAAGACACGAGGGCATTTAGATGGAATATTACTTCTAATAGGCAGACTGGATGTATCTGTGCACTTACGGTGTCAATATCAACATTGTTAACACGTGCACACATTCTGCGGTTGTCATACAAAAAAACTTGTATGTTAATATGATACCGTAAGCTGGTATTCAATGACAATGATGTTATTAAACAGGTTTTATGCTTGATGTTTGTATGTTGCAAAAAAATATAGGTTACTAGTGAGACGCGCTCACGGTCTGCTGCACGACGTCTTAGTGGCCTAAAGGATGAGAATTCTGGTGTGCTCATATCATAACGACTGTACCGATGTACAAATTCCGCATACAGGTACCAATTAAATGGTACCAATGGATATGGCACATGTTCAATGGCTGACGATGACAGAATAATACGGGCATTAAAAAAATTACCAAAAAAACACTTTTCGCCTAATTGCTTACATACAACAAAGCATATTTACAAAAGTAAGAATGAAATATAGGAAATTAGCCATTGGCCCTTAGGTCTAAAATGTTACAATTTTCCGTTTGGTCGGGTTTTAAAAAGTTACTTCTAATTCTCACTTTCATCAAATTAGGAAATGAAATAAATCCCAACAAGAGTAGGATCTGTTTGAAACTGAAATTCGAGGCGGCTTTCCCCATCGCGTAGAATTTGTTGTTCTCCTCGGTGAGGGAGTCGACCTTCAGACCGAAGGCGCAGGACGCGATCACATCGTTGGCGTATCTAGTGGTCAGGTCTTTAGTGTCTATGTCCACGTATCCACCTAGAATAATAATATTTTTTGTTCATGATAGGTTAGTCCCTGTCTTATTATTGAAGCCTCAGCAGGACACAAATTAGGATTTTAACCAGTGCTACGTGCGCTGGAAACATTTACTAAAATTACATGAAAATGTCGAATACCAAAAATATTTAGAGCTCTTTTTATTGGGAAGGAGCGATTGCTATTATCCTGGAGAACTTTCCAGCTTCACCAGGCTGAATGAGTCCCTCAAGAGCCCAGCCGGATTAGACTTTTAAGTTTCTAGATTTAATTGATTCTAAATACTGAATCAAGACAATGAAATCTCCAAATATTTTATTGAATGTTATGAGATCCTGATCTTGATAGTTTGGTGTTTTCTTGAATGATAATTATTGTATTCGTAAAAACTATTAATTAAATAAACGCTTCGTTGTGTATCCACACTGTTATAAATGTATGTGTTTTTTTTTCATAAGATACGTGAAAAAGTCTCTGCACTATAGACGCTCTTGTGTGACCGTAGTCACTTTTTATTGAATGTTGAAGCTTGAGCTGTACAAACCATCAGAGTTTTTAATATTCTTTTTTATGGCGTTGATCATCTGCTCTCCCACTTCAACTATTAAGGGCATCATAAGCTTCATCTTGGAACTAGTGAAGGCTGGTGATAAAGTTGATCGCATATCTTTCCATTCCTGGCCTGTAAATATCGAAAAAATTCTCCCAAACTAATTTTTGAAATAGCGAGTCCCTATGACGACTACCTAATAAAAGAGTCAACTTAATGCGATCCTATATTGTTGCTAAACTAATTTACGTATTTTGAGTGAGCAGAAGCGAAGTGAGTGAGTAGAAGCAGCCAGCGATAAGCGAGAAGGACAATGGCAGGGGGACAATGGTCACAACGCTCAGACATGAGGAACGCGACTCAGGGAGTAGGAGGAGGAGGAGGGTAGAAGCACTATAATACTACTTATTTTTGCCAAATACCAGACCATGACTTTGATCTAATGCGTTAAGGTGGCAATTTACGTTGTAATGTTTATGGGGTCCGTTAACTATGCGGTAAACTCGTCTGCTATCCAAAGGAACAACCTCCCGTAAAATCCTCCAAGGCGTTTTCCAAGAACTTTCTTCAAAGGAAATTTCAAGGCTATTAAATGACAAGCCGCGTTTTGCCTGTGGCCCTACTACTGCTAATGACCTTTGGCAAGCTTAACCGTATATGATCAGAAGACGGGCCTTCCTTCCGTAGTAACAAAAGAGGATTTATAACTTAGTGCTGTCCACTGTGCCTTGTGTGTATATCAAATAATCATATTTGGTCTTACCTTTCAATGAAAACAGATTCCTTCCAAACATCGGATCGGAATCCTCATTGACGATCGTGCGATGATCCAGGAAATGTTCAAAGTCTTTAATTGTGATTCTCTTTACGATCTCAATGTCTCTGATGTAGATCACCGGATTTACANGGATTTATAACTTAGTGCTGTCCACTGTGCCTTGTGTGTATATCAAATAATCATATTTGGTCTTACCTTTCAATGAAAACAGATTCCTTCCAAACATCGGATCGGAATCCTCATTGACGATCGTGCGATGATCCAGGAAATGTTCAAAGTCTTTAATTGTGATTCTCTTTACGATCTCAATGTCTCTGATGTAGATCACCGGATTTACAAACTCGTATCTACCAACGAATCTGTTGATTAAGAAAATTAATTATAGAGTGTAAATTCACAGAAAAAAGTGTTACCAAGCTGAACATTTTACATAGGCATAAAATTACCATTATTTTCGAATGTAGTTATATGAGTGATTTTTATTACGAGACTTAGAAATGGCACGGTTGAACATACAAAATTTACAAAAAAATCAAACATTACATATGTATATGAGCTATAACTATTATAGAATTAGAGGAAACAGGTCTACATTACTGAGCTCCAACCATAGATCCGCTCTGGATAATTTCTGTTCAGAAAATCTTTTCAAGAGAAAATATCATCAGAACATTCGACCAACATCATTGGCTCTAAATAATTATTGAATTAGTCTCGCGGTTGTATTCGTGTTCAATTTGTGACTTGATACGTAATGTTACATTATGTACTCAGCTTAGCACTATTATTAAGGTATGAACTAATAATTCCTAAGATAATTACGTTACAATATTCTCACTAGCCTATAGAGTTACTTAGGAATTGAAACTAATTACACCCTGTATGTAACAAGTACTCATATGCTACAGCCCCTTATCAAATAATGATGTCTTATCGTTTTGGCCAAATCAAACAGTTTTATCAAAAGATAAATGGCGTGATATAGTGGTCATTAATACAATATTATCACAATAAGGGTATGGGAGTCATGGAGGCTTTGGCAATTTCTCAACGCTCTCATGACCTGGGTTGTTTTATTGCATCAGGCTATCGGAAGCGGGAGTGAAAGTCGGGAGTGCCATCCTGCTGGATTGAATTTACCTTTCGGATAGAATCGATTGACCACTTTGTGTGCTGAAAATAGTGATATCATCCCATGTAAACTTATAACATAATATCTTACCACTCCAAAACCTTAATCCTGATTTACCAGTTTTCCTGAAGTACTTACTATTTTGAATCAAGCCAGAATTTATTAGGTTTTTTGGCTATTTCTAATGTAAAACAATCTTAGACTCTATATCGAAGTATAGGGTAGGCCTTGATTCATTCAAGTTGAAGGCTTCAGCACATAGATTATCGCGCAGTATTTGCCACAGTAAAATCTGTCTAATTTGGCTAAATAAAGTCAGGATTTGACAGCGTGAAATCGGCTCTATACGTTCGCACGTGGGAAGGGCTCAAGGTAACTTTACCCGCATTTGATAGAACAGCACGACTGAAATGCTAGTTATGCCAATAAATAATTTCTTACCTTTCTTCTGGAAAATTATTGTACAATTGCGAAATGTCATCTACTAAATGGTTAAATTTGAAGACGATCTTGCCCATGTTGCCCAGTATCGGAAGCGGGGTTACGCTCTTGATTTCATGCTTGCTGAAGTAGGAATATGTCTGCTTCAGGTACAGTAAGAGAGCCAAACCTATCACTAATGTCCATATGATGATGATCATTTTACCTGTAAAAAACTATTACTATTGTTATTACTGGTGGTAGGACCTATAGTGAGTCTGCACGGGTAGGTACCACCACACTGCCTATTTCTGCCATAAAGCACTAAAGCGTTTCAGTTTGAAGGGCGGGGCAGCCGTTGTAACCATACTGAGACCTTAGAACTTATATCTCAAGGTGGGTGGCGCATTTACGTTGTAGATGTCTATGGGCTCCAGTAACCACTTAACACCAGGTGGGCTGAGAGCTCGTCTACCCATCTAAGCAATAAATAAAAAAGGAAAATTAGTAAATTTGTTTGTAGTAACTATGAATCGAGAAGACCGGCGTTGCCACTTGTTACTTACTTGCTAGAGCCCTGAACCTGAGACTTGATGTTTTATTTATTGATGGATCTCACTGAAGTTTATTGTTACCACAACGCAAACTTCATCGCCCATGTGGACGACCTAGAGCAAGGATTTTGAACTATATTTGTAGAAACGATTGTAAAATTAGTATTAGAAGCACGAATATGACAGCGATCTTGTCATGAAGATAATCAGACAGGAATGACCACATCTCTCAAGTGTCTGTAATTGGCAATTTTTTTAGTGTGAGCACAACGCACGTGATCGTGCGCACTTTATCCTTATTTTCAATTGAATTCTTCAAACGAGTATAGTGAATTGATTTCCACGTTTATAGCGCAAGAGATACGGTCGTTTTTTGTTTGGTTGCCTTAATAGTTTTCAATTGTTGTCCACCTTGACACGTAAGGTTAAAGTTTCACACATGTGAAACGCTTTATTTTGGAGTTATAGGCGTTAATGGCGTGGGTATACGCCCGGTATACTTCTCTTGTGATTTTTTCGAACCCAAGGGGGGGTGGCGGACACATCAAAAGGAAAAACAAAATTGTTATTTTTATTTCATTCCGAGCATTTTCATATTTATCTTTTAAACCTTCTCTGGACCTTCACAAATAATTAAAGACCAAAATTAACCAAATCCGTCCAGCCGTTCTCGAGTTTTAGTGGGACTAAACGAACAGCAATTCATTTATATATATAGATATAGAAGATAGAAGACAGGAAAAAACAAAACGGTTCAGTACCTTTTCTTTTATGTTTGACAACGGATTATCTCTTTTTTTGTTTTCTTGTTGTTCAGATTAGAGATGCTTCCCACCTTCACAAGAAAAAATGTCATTTACATCGTAATCATTAACATTTTACAAGAACATAAAATTTACGCAAAACATTACACTTACGTTTCTTAATATGAACATCAAATCGCTGTTGTTTTTCTCCAATTAATTTATCTGTTTTCGTGATAACTGAATTATTGAGATTGACGTGCGCGCACATGAGGCGACTGTTTCTTTCTGATGTTGAGTTATAAATAGTATCTAGGTTTTGATGCGAAATATATTATACAAAGTAATACAAAGAATGATAATAAAGAATATCTATTATGATATTTACGGAGTGCTTACAATCTCTGGATGCGCGAAGACACTTTCGTTCATTCCGTGTTTAATTATATTTACGCACATTATACACACACACATTATGTTCTTCGGTTTCCGCGGGTCGTGGACATCATTAAAACTACTTTCACGGTTTAATCTAGTATTATTATTATTGTCGTTAAATTCTTTTCCACCTTTTTGGAACGAAGTTCCTTATGGGACAATGCGGATGGGGTACCCTAACCGGAAAAAACGTCCGTCACGTAAGATTTTTATTATTAATGAACACAGGTACGACTTAACTTTGTAATAACGTACAAAAAATAACATATTTTTTTATCATTCATTGACTACGATCTCAGAGCGTTCGTTTGTGCAAAACACTCTTTTTTTTTTGTTTATTGCCCTTGTAGGCAGACGAGCATACGGCCCACCTGATGGTGAGTGGTTACCATCGCCCATGGACTTCAGCAATGCCAGGGGCAAAGCCAAGCCGCTGCCTACCGTTTAATACTCTCCACAAGCCTCGTTTGAAGAAGGACATGTCATAGCGCTCGGGAAACACCGTGGAGGGGAGCTCATTTCATAGCCGGATACTCTTATGCAAACAACCGTGAATGAAGTGTACCACAATAAGCTCGCACGTTACCGAATGACCGTGGGTTGTTGTGAAACCTCCAGTTTTATTTTCTTTATACCTCGAATAGAACTTAAAATTAATATTTTTATAATAAGCAACTTCGTTCCTATCCGGTGTCCCACGACACCACACATCTTTTTTTTATAGCTTAAATGGGTGGACGAGCTCACAGCCCACCTGGTCTTAAGTGGTTACTGGAGCCCATAGACATCCACAACGTAAATGCGCCACCCACCTTGAGATATAAGTTCTAAGGTCTCAAGTATAGTTACAACGGCTGCCTCACCATTCAAACCGAAACGCATTACTGCTTTACGGCAGAAATAGGTAGGGTGGTGGTACTCGCCCGCGTGGGCTCACAAGTGGTCCTACCACCAGTAATTACGCAAATTATAATTTTGCGGGTTTCATTTTTATTACACGATGTTATTCCTTCACCGTGGAAGTCAATCGTGAACATTTGTTGAGTACGTATTTCATTAGAAAAATTGGTACCCGCCTGAGATTCCAAAACCGGTGCATCGCTCAACACGATAACGACGTCTTATCCGTTAGGCTAGGACGACTTCAAAACGCCAACGGGTCGGGCTTGACTAGTATTTAATGCGTTCCTCTGTCCCAAAGGAAAATGAAAAACTATGCCGCAACTCCAACAGACTTTTTGCAAGCCCTCAAGTGGTAATATAATGCAAAAAAAAAAACGGATATAGGCTTTACTTCCCTGAAATATATATGGTATATGAGTGTAAATGGACATTTTTGCTTCTGCATATTTGATATGTTGATGAATATTGTAAAGTTTCCCAGGTTGGGATCGTATCGGAAACTAATACAATTTACTACTGTCCTATATATCACAGTGTAAATATATTTGCTTAAAAAAATACTACGTTGTTGGCACCTTGTTGGTAATGACGCTTCTTGGGATCCAAATGAACAAACATATAAAGAAAAGCCGGTTTTGAACATTGGCGTCAATAATTTTAAGAGTTTACTATTGCTTTTTGAATGTATTATCATTGAGGAGACAATAATGCCCTTTATAGAAGGATCCTTCTATCAATATAACTCGTAAAGGCTCACAAATACAGAATGAAAATTTATAAGCTTTGCACAGAAGAAGGATTTATCTAGAACTATGTAATTTGCAGCCACCCTGAGATTGTTAATCTCGGTAAGCCGACAAGTATTATAGTTCAATTATTTGATGATCCTCTAGAAGCCGAAAAGATATTTGTGTATAACAACTTCTACAGCAGTGTGGAACTGCGTACAAAAATAATTACAGCTATTGCTGTCAATGTTTTTAGTCCTCCATCGAGTAGACCTTCCGTGGGCAATAGGCACAATGAAAATGGATCACCAGACGCCCTACCATCAGTAATTACGCAAGTTAAAATTTTTGCAGTTTTGATTTATATTACACGATGTTATTCCTTCATCATCCATCATCTCTGAACATTTTGTTAAGTACAGATTTCATTACAAAAATTAGTACCTACCTGTTGGATTCAAACACCGGCACAGTCGTATCGCTCAATACGAATGCATCAGACGTTTCGTCTTTTAGACCACAACGATTTAATTATTTTGAGTTCATTAGAAAATCATTTCTGATTTCATAAATAAATAATAGTTTCTATAAAAACTTTGAATAATATTAAGCGATGGATTTTCTATAAAAGCGTATTTTGTTACATTTTTTATTTTATTTTTCATTTTTTAAATAAATTTCAATTTTTTCAATATTTTTTCTAAATTTGAATTGTCATCGATCTTTAATAAGTATATCAAATTTCGAGTTAATTCGACGTTTGGAAGGGGGTTAAAATCATTCCGTGGTGAGGCGGCGCAAGGTGGCTCCTATGCGCCACTCACGGTGTCTCCCGAGACGACGTCCTGCGGGATCTTCCCGGGGATTGGATCCCGTCCTATTGTCAGGATGGGTACCGGTGACGGCGAGCCTGCGGCGCGCATTGTGCGGTACCGTAGGTTTCGTGGAGTCGGAGTGGTGGAGCTCGATGGGGTTTAGTCGGTAGTCGGTTTTGCGGGGCGGGTCCTGCGTGGTAGACGCCGCGCAGCGCCTCGCGCGCCTTTCTCAAGGCGTAGTCTCCCGGTAGGAATTGGAAGAAGAGGAAGACTTTGGTCTTCCTCTTCAATGGATGTCAGCAATGCTAGAGATATTGCCAAGCTGCCAAGTTCTAGGTAATTGATTCTTAGGGTCAGTGAAATATACAGCGAAGGTCTTAGATACATCGTAGACTTATTTTTGCAGTTTTTTAGTATACATTAAATTCACATTTTACTGGTGGTAGGACCTCTTGTGAGTCCGCGCGGGTGGGTACCACCGCCCCGCCTATTTCTGCCGTGAAGCAGTAATGCGTTTCGGTTCGAAGGGTGGGGCAGCCGTTGTAACTATACTGAGATCTTAGAACTTATATCTCAAAGTGGGTGGCGCATTTACGTTGTAGATGTCCATGGGCTCCAGTAATCACTTAACACCAGGTGGGCTGTGAGCTCATCCACCAATCTAAGCAATAAAAATAAATAAATTATAGAACATAGTTTAATTTCAAACTTTGAATACTATTTACTTACTATTTACTTTGAATACTAATTATATTTCCAAGTCCCAAGAATATTCAAGTAAATTGTGCTGTGACATGCAGACAGACAGATTGACAGAAATAAATTATAAAGTTTCCATTTTCTTTGGTTATTTGTAAAGTAACATAAGCAAAACATAGAACTGAATGATTTGGATGTTAAAAGGTGATGACTTCTTCTCAGTCGCGTGCACTCTTGGCAGAGTGGTCGTGGTCATCACTTCGGTTGATGGTGCGCTCCACCAAATGTCGCCATTCCAAAGATGATGACATGACAGTATTTTTTTTAAATAAAACTTTATTTACAGACTGTACATACATAAAAAAAAACAGTATAATTCAAACGTTTCACACAAAACATTTTATAGCTTTAAAATTATCAATGATAATTGTCTATGATATTGTAGTTGACTATAATATAGTTGATGTGTAATATAAATATAACAATAATATAGTTGATGTCTTCATTAGTCACCTATCATAATTACAGTGATTTTTCAATCAATCTCTGATCTTTAGTCTGACCCAATGACCACCTTCAAGACGAAGGTTGAAGGTTTCCTTGCTGAGCTTCGAGGGGATGCACGTCTTCTCGCACGGAGATATCTCCATATGCTGGAGTAGCTGGTATGCCATCACTTTTACTTCGCATAAAGCGAACCTAGAACCTGGTACAAAAAAATGTTTATATAATTTTTTTTGTTAAAAAGCGAATAGTACCTGCTACTATAAGTAAAATATATAAATTTTCAAAGATAATAACAATAAAAAAATTATTACAATTCACAAATTTGACTTGAATAATCTTTACCTATACAATTCCTAGGTCCCACTCCAAATGGTAGATACGCGAAAGGCTTGATGTTGTGTTTATTCTCCTCTGAGAACCTTTCGGGATCGAATTTCAGGGGGTCCGGGAAGAATTCCGGGTTTCGGTGGAAAGCCCATACGGGAATAGCTACACCCGTACCTTTGCGAAGCTAGAACAGTCCAAATGTACAAACGTGTAATATTTAAAAATGAACTTATAATTATAGATGACCAAGAAAGTATAATGAGACACATTCAATATGATTCAATCTTGAGATATGACACAATATGATTCGATCTTGAGATATGACACAATATGATTCAATCTTGAGATATGACAGCAAGCTTGTTTGGCAGCGGTTTAGTTATGCCACTGCCATTTTCCATGTCCACGAGGGACGGTGATTACGCGCCGTCACGCGGGACATATTCCTGTGAAAGTATTTTTTGGATGCCCGATACATAGGTGACATGACCAAGAACTCAGACCATCTGCAATCTTATAGAGAGCAGTGGCTTTAACATATTGTTATCCAAGGTTCACGAGTTAGGCAATTAAGAAAGCTAATAATCGAGGTTTGGGACTTACTGTGAAGTCTCTTTTGGCCTTGTCATTTGGTTTCCCCAAGTTGTAGTCTTGAACGCAGATTCTATCCATGGAGACACCTGGCGGCCACAGCCTTAGGAGTTCTAAAATAATTAAAATTCACAAATGGTTATATCTCATAAATACATCCTAAATTCACTATATTCCCCAAACATTTTTTTGTAGGAGACATCATCGTCTTAGCCTTGATTCTCCGGTTCTTTCATAGTAGAGTTATTGGCATTGAAGTTCGTCTTGATAATTTCATGCTTGAGATGTTCATTAACTAAATAAACAATTATAGGTATTTACCTATAGCCTCTACGACTATTTCCCCATCACTAGCTAGCAGTATGTGTATCCTAGCTTAATATCTATTTTCTAATCTTACTCCTTAATAGATACTTTTGTATAATAGTTGTAGTTGTGGACAGTCATCATCATTATCATCACGGTGAAAGAATCACGATGATCGATATTACAGTCTCAAGACCTTGAGTTGGATGCCACAGTGGAACAAATATAGGTTCGTAGTTTATCTACACGAATGATAAAATAGGATTACCTGAAACAACCATATCCAAATACACCATATTCTGTATGGAGTTGTAGTCAAATTTTCCATTGTTCCTCTCCTTGTTTTCCTTGATTTCTTCAACCAATTTGTCTTGTACTTCAGGGTTGAGAGCCAATTCGTGAAGGAGGAACGTCATTGCCGATGAAACGGTTTCAAAACCAGCAACGAAGAAAAGAACTGCTTGAGCGATGATGTCGTCATCAGTCCAGACTGCAATTAAACCCCCTTGAATCTACGGTTTTCTCTTAAAGGTGATGATTTCAAAAACACGACGAACAAAAGCATGAGTTTACGAAGGGATTCAGTCTTTTTTTATGATTGAGAGTTTACTGGTGGCCCGGAGGCCTTTCCAGTTTCATCAGGGTAGATTGACGAGCAAAGGCTCAGCCAGGAGCGGTGGGATTTGCTAACAGCTGTCCGAGCGCCTCCGAAGTAGACCTAACAACTCAAGAGCAGCTGCTTCGCGAATGAATCTACCGGATCGGAATTGCGACACACTAAGAATGTCCAACGAGAAACTCAGCGAACTGATGCATGGGTTAGGTTGCACTTCGAACTTTTTGTCGAGTTCGACGACTACGGTTATCGGGGTCCCTAAGCCTGCTCCTAGTGTTAAAGCTGAAGGCCTCTAATGCAAAGGTTATTGGATTTGATGGATCCGTAAGGATATGTCTAGGGCGTCGGCGGTGACTGGTGTGATCCGGATTCGGGGAGTAGTCAGCGGCACCAACGATAAGGTGATTATCATGACGCATAGCCTTATGGAAGTACCGTTCCAATGCTGACTTCATGTGTTTTCGGATCGACTTGAGGTCCAGGTCGTCGTGTAGGTCGACGTTCCTCACGAACCACAGAGCTCCGACGGCTAATTTGCAAAAACGAGATTGTAGGGATTGGAGGGTCTCTATGTGTGCACTCTATATGAGCCGTGTGAGCGAACACCACACTCGCGTTAGTTATGACGGGCCTTATGCCAGTTTTGTAAAGTGTCACCTTGTTCCGAAGGGATATTTTACTCCACTTACAGATCATGGGGTAGTCTGCCGAGAATAAACGAGGCAGAGTTGCGGCTTGATTTTATATTTATTTATTTATTTATTATTGTTAACATAGAAGCAGAAACACACAATATTTGGGCGGAATGTCATGGATACATCCAGGGTGACACCCGGGTACTTGATCTTCCTGGCCCAGGGTCAAAGAGAGTAATCGGGGGTATGAAACTCCTCTTAATTCGGGAGGAAATCCGTGAGGAGTTTCCCCTTTCAAATAGCACTGCAGTGTTATTCGCTGGATTGATGTCTAGACGCCATTTTCGGAACCACTGTCCGAGGGTGACAGCTGCGCTCTGGACCTAACTCGCTATAAGTGGTGGTTGAAACTTTTTACTGGTGGTAGGACCTCTTGTGAGTCCGCGCGGGTAGGTACCACCACCCTGCCTATTTCTGCCGTGAAGCAGTAATGTGTTTCGGTTTGAAGGGTGGGGCAGCCGTTGTAACTATACTGAGATCTTAGAAGGTGGGTGGCGCATTTACGTTGTAGATATCTATGGGCTCCAGTAACCACTTAACACCATGTGGGCTGTGAGCTCGTCCATTCATCTAAGCAAAAAAAAAAGTGTCTTGTTCCTACTCTAATAATAAACGGTGTCGTCACCGAATAAAGCTGACTGGGTCGGCGGCGACCAGGGAATATCGTTGACGAATAAACTAAATAGGAGTGGCGAGAGGAGCCCTGAGAGGTCGCGTGAAGGAGTGGGTTCCCTCTACTCGATGTCGAAAAGAGCGGATCGACAAGAAGTCCTGTATGGTGGTCACGAGACTGTCCGACACGCCCATGTTGAATAGTTTGAAAATCAAACCGTTGTGGCAAACTTTGTAGAACGCTTTTGCGACATCAAAGAAAAATGCTCCCGTATATAACGGTTTTGGTCGGTTAAGCCCTACGAGAATGTACCCCGTGAGGCGGTACACTTGTTGTAGGCATGAGTGATTTGCACGGAATCCGAATTATTCATCGATGAGAATGTCCCTGGATGAGACGAAGTCTCTGAGACGTAGAGCAGACGCTCATACAGTTTGCCTAGAGAGGATTCAAAGTCTCTTTGTACTGGGGACCGTACGTTGTATGTGGAGCACTATCAGGAATATTTTTTATCACATGCACCTAGAAACTTGAGGTCTTAGTCCGCCATCTTCTTCTTACTATTGCACCACCGATTGTCGAAGAGTTCATCTTTATAAGAAACATTGCATTCGCCCACAAGGCGTGTTCAAATCAATTTTGTCTTCAATTACGCTCGAAGCTGAGAATTTCCTTTCTTCAAACGAGGTTTGAATAGTGTACTGAACGGTGGGCAGCGGCTGTACTGTACCCCTGACATTGCTGATGTCCATGATTAACCAAAAACTGCTCACTATCAGTCTCAAGTGACGAACCCTCGGTCCGCTGAATTCATTCATTAGTCTCACCTCTATCGATTTGTTTCTTGCCAACTGCAGATTCTTCTACCGTGGCGAATCCTGCGTCGGTGTCTTTGCTGGATTTATCATCGTGGACTAATTTTCCTGCGAATAATTTTTAAAATTAATTAGATGGTTAAGAATTGTTTTAACTTGATTTTATTCGAGTTCGACCCTAGAAGGTGTCTGAAACAACCGAACAGCTCTTTAAGCAAATCACACAAATTCCGCGTATTGCTAAGGTATTCAGCACTTTAAAGGTCAAAGACTCAAAGAAGTATTTTTGAAGTGAAACTTCCTTATCGGCGTTGGAAAAAAATTTACCGTCACATTTTTCGGTTACGCGTCACATTTTTCCGTTACGCGCCATCTTTTAATTAACGGCTGTATGTTCTGAAGTATGGATGCGCATTTGAGAAACCGACCTCATGTCTCAAGGTGGGTCACGGAATACATTTTGTAATTGCAATAATCCCAGGTAACCCACTTAATATCACGTGGACCGTGCTATTATTGTTATTACGTAAAATAATAGGAAGAAAAGTACCAGGGTATTATGATATCAAAGAGATGTATTATTATAACTTTACTCTGACGTACAGCCTTCTTTATTAATTAACGGCTGTATGTTCTGAAGTATGGATTCCGATTTGAGAAATTGACCTCATGTCTCCAGGTGGATTACGGAAATCATTTTGTAANGAACAGTGATTTTTTTACAATTCGAATTGGTATCATCTCGCAGATTTATAAATACAATTTTTTTTTATTGCTTAGCTTGGTGAACGAGCTCACACCCCACCTGGTGTTAAGTGGTTACTGGAGCCCATGGACATCTACAACGTAAATGCGCCACCCACCTTGAGATATAAGTTCTAAGATCTCAGTATAGTTACAACGGCTGCTCCACCCTTCAAACCGAAACGCATTACTGCTTCACGGCAGAAATAGGCAGGGCGGTGGTACCTACCCGCGCGGACTCACAAGAGGTCCTACCACCCGTTAAAATATCGTATTTTTAGTATCGTTATCGTCGAGCGGGGCAATGGAACTACTGCCAGTAATGCGCCGCTACCAGTAGACATTATATTTATCTGATTATAAACATCATCATCACTTAAAGACAACGTAATGTGAATTGCTGCCACCCAGCTTAAGTTATAATGTGAGAGAATGGAATATTCAAGAATAACCATAACACACCCCCTAATTACGCAAGCTTATTAATTTAGCTGGTTTTTTTTATTTTATTAGATGTTTTAAAGAGCTTTTAGAGAGACGTTAGAGACTTCTTAATGTACCTTACTGGTGTTGGGGTGTGTGGTGAGCCCGCACTGGTGGGAGCCAGTATCCTGCCTATTTCTGCCATGAACCATTAACGCGTTGCGGTTTGAAGGGCGGGGCAGTCATTGTGTACTATAAAACTGAGACTTAGAGCTCATGTTTCAAGTTGGGTGACGGAATTTACGTTATTGATCATCACTTAACACCGGGTGGACCGTGAGTTCGTCCACCCATCGAAGACACAAATAAAAAGTGCCCTAGCACTACGATAAGTCTAACGGTCTTCGAATTAGCATACAATTCCGTTTTCCACCTAAGTCCTCAATAGTTTTATTGGGCAGCGAATCAAAACATGTAACTCTAGACAGAATTTTAAATGCCTATCGTCCGTCAGTCGCTGCGAGCTGGACCTTGAAGTTCAACAATTTATCGCAACTGATTATAATTTTTTTGTGATTGAAAGACCTTGACGTTTGTTTGTAAACACGTCACATACGAGTTGAATCGAATTACTCCGATTAGAAGTCTCATTCAGAGCCATGTTCTGTTTCTGTACTAATTCTATTGGATAGTTCTTCGATTTCAATACGTAATTCGTCTTCTTCGTGGACTGGTGGTAGGACTTCTTGTTAGTCCATGCGGGTAGGTACCACCACCCTGCCTATTTCTGCCGCGAAGCAGTAATGCGTTTCGGTGTGAAGGGTGGGGCAGCCGTTGTAACTATAGTTGAGACCTTAGAACTTATGTCTCAGGTGGGTGGCGCATTTACGTTGTAGATGTCTATGGGCTCCAGTAACCACTTAACACCAGGTGGGCTGTGAGCTCGTCCACCCATCTAAGCAATAAAAAAAAGGTATTCTTTTGCAGTGGAATTAGATTGCGTCCCAAAAAAAAATCCTTATTTAATCTGGTAAGACACGACGGCATTTAGATGTAATATTACTTCTAATAGACAGAGTGGATGTATCTGTGCACTTCCGGTGTTAATATCAACCTTGTTAACACGTGCACACACATTCTGCGGTTGTCATATAAAAAACTTGTATGGTAATACAATACCGTAAACCAGTATTCAATGACAATGTTGTTATTAAACTGGTTTTGTGGGTACTTGATGTTTGTATGTTGCAAAAAATATAGGTTACTAGGGAAACGGGTCCACGCTCGGCTGCACGAACTTGTGGTCTAAAGGATAAGAATTCTGCTGTGCTCATATCAAGCGATGCGATCGTGCCGTTGCTCAAATTCCGCATGCAGGTACTTACTGGTGCATACAGGTGCTTACTGGTGGTAGGACCTCTTGTGACTCCGCGCGGGTAGATACCACCGCCCTGCCTATTTCTGCCGTGAAGCAGTAATGCGTTTCGGTTTGAAGGGTGGGGCAGCCGTTGTAACTATACTGAGATCTTAGAACTTATATCTCAAGGTGAGTGGCGCATTTACGTTGTAGATGTCTATGGGCTCCAGTAATCACTTAACACCAGGTGGGCTGTGAGCTCGTCCACCCAGCTAAGCAATAAAATTATTATGCAGGTACTAATTAAAAGGTAGGTACTAATGAATATCACCACCAACACCAATGAATATCTTGGCACATATTCAACTACTAATTACTACTACTACTACTACTGATTACTACTACTACTACTAATTACTACTACTGATAATGAAGTCTATATAAAAACAACTGGCAAAAATATTTTTTGCGTAATTGTTTACAATAAAGTATACTTACAAAATTAAGAATGAAATAGGAAATTAACTTTCCGTTTGGTCGGGTTTTAATAAGTTACTTCTAATTCTCACCTTCATCAACTTAGGAAATGAAATAAATCCCAACAAGAGTAGGATCTGTTTGAAACTGAAATTCGAAGCGGCTTTCCCCATCGCGTAGAACTGGTTGTTCTCCTCAGTGAGGGAGTCGACCTTCAGACCGAAGGCGCAGGACGCGATCACATCGTTGGCGTATCTAGTGGTCAGGTCTTTAGTGTCTATGTCCACATATCCGACTAAAATAAAAATATTTTTTGTCATAATAGAAGATTCTCTTAAACAATGTCACGGTTTGTCCCTGTCGGATTATTGAAGCCTCACGAGGAAACAGCTTAGGATTTTAACTAGTACTACGTATGCTGGAAACACAAATACGAGACAACAGTAACATGATAATGTCGAATGTTAAAAATATTTAAAGATCTTTATTTGGAAAGGAAGAATGCTGTTACCCTGGAGAGCGTTCTAGCTTCAATAGCTTGGATGGATCACTCAAAAGTCCAGCCGGATCAGAGCCTATTAGGCCGTCAGTCATATTTAAGTTTCCAGAGTTAATCGAAATACTGAAACTACACATCGAGGTTTCTAATAAAGGGATGCCAGGATATTTTATCGAATGTTATGAGATCCTGACAATGCCAAACAAGGATCTACTTGGTTTTTCTTCTTCAATAGTAATTTTTGTCTTCCTACAAACCATAAATTGAATAAACACTTCCTTGTGTATCCGCAGTGCTATAAATTTATTTGTTTATTTTCGTAAAATACGTGAAAAAGTCTCAGCACTGCAGACGCTCTTGGGTGACCATAGTTACTTTTTATTGGATGTTGAAGCTTGAGCTGTACGAACCACCAGAGTTTTTAATGTTCTTTTTTAACGCGTTGATCATCTGCTCTCCAACTTCGACTATTAAGGGCATCATAAGCTTCATCTTGGAGCTGGTGAAGGCTGGCGATAAAGTGGATCGCATATCTTTCCATTCCTGGCCTGTAAATATCAAAAAAATTCTAGAAAATTTGGTAATGATATAAGGATTCCCTATAACTAATTTTCTTGAGCGAGCACAGGTAGCATCATAATCTTTGGCGTTGTAATGTTTATGGGGTCCGTTAACTATGTGGCAGTGTGGTCCTAAAGTATCGCAGACGTCCACTGGCAAACTTAATATATGATCAGAAGAACCACCGTCGAGCCTTCGTTCCGTGGTAATATTAGAGGATTTATAACTTTCACTGTCTTGGTCCTAAAGTATCGCAGACGTCCACTGGCAAACTTAATATATGATCAGAAGAACCACCGTCGAGCCTTCGTTCCGTGGTAATATTAGAGGATTTATAACTTTCACTGTCTTGTGTACATAAAGATTAGTAATAATCATACCTTTCAAAGAAAACAGATTCCTTCCGAAAATGGGATCGGTTTCCTCATTGACGATCGTGCGATGATCCAGGAAATGTTCAAAATCTTTAATTGTGATTCTCTTAACGATCTCAATATCTCTGATGTAGATCACCGGATTTACAAACTCATATCTACCAACGAATCTGTTGATTAAGAAAATCAAACACAGATGATGCTTAGGTATGTAATTTTTTTTTTTTTTTGTTGCTTAGATGTGTGGACGAGCTCACAGCCCACCTGATGTTAAGTGGTTACTGGAGCCCATTGACATCCACAACGTAAATGCGCCACCCACCTTGAGATATGAGTTCTAAGGTCTCAGTATAGTTACAACGGCTGCCCCACCCTTCAAACCGAAACGCATTACTGCTTCACGGCAGAAATAGGCAGGGGGGTGGTACCCACCCGCGCGGACTCACAAGAGGTCCTACCACCAGTAAAAATTTAGGTAATGTAATTAGGATTTCTTCTATTCCATTCTAAATCCTAACTTTGAGTTCAAAGAAAAAAGTTTTACTACACTGAGCATTTTAAATAGGCATTGAACGGTCGGTTTGTTCGTTTGTCATCTATTTAATGTATATACGAGTATGAGAACGGTTAATTCGTTTCTTGTCGTCTGGTTCGTGTCCATCTTTTACGAAGGCATTAAAAGTACTCTCTGGCATTATATATACTATACCACGACCCTCAGTAATGAGGAAACCGACGCAAGGAGGAGGAGGCATTAGTCACGCCCGCTCTTGTTCCATTTCTTTCTTTTCAAATTATTGACAAGTCTCTGTCTTAGTCTATGTCTTGTCGTTATAGGTCTTATGTCCCGTCAAAGAGGTTGCACGCCACGTCAGGCAGAAAATTACCATCGTTTTCCTGTGTAGCTTTACTACTGATTATTGGAATGGCACAAAGAAAATTTCCAAAAAAATCAAATCAGTACATATGTATATGAGCCGTAACTAGAATTAGAGGAAACAGGTCTAGATTGCTGAGCTCCGACCATACATCCCCTCAGGATAATTTCCATTCAGAAAATATTTTCAAAGAGAATAACACAAGAATATTAGATATCGTTGACGCTAAATTATTATTGAATTAGTCTCGCGTTCACTCATCGTTATATTCGTGTTCCATCTGTGACTTGATAAGTAATATTATATTATGTACTTAGCTTAGAATTATTATTAATGATTGGACTAATAATTCCTAAGACAATCATTTTTTTAAATATTCTCGCTAGCCTATAGAGGTACTTAGATATTGAAACTACTTAGACCCTGTATGTATGAGTGTACTCATATTCTACAGCTCGTTATCAAATAATGATATATTATCTTTTTGAAGAAATCTTAAACACCTTTATCAAAATATAGATGTGTTGCAGTGGGTATTAAAACAATATTATTACGGAATAAGGTTTTTTTTTTATGGGAGTCTTTGGAGGCTTTGGAATTTTCTCAACGCTCTCTCCAATAACTTAGTTGTTTTCTTTAATATTGCAACAGACTATCGGAAGCGGGAGCAATAGTTGCGAGTGCCCGACCGCTGTATTAAATCTATCCTTCAAACAGGATCGTTTTGGCCACTTTGGGTGCTGAAAATAGCGATATTATCCCATTGAAACTTATAACATATACTACCACCTCAATTTTTTTATTCACGTTTATCAGTTCTCCTGAAGTATTTACTAGTGAATCGTGTCAGCATTTATTAGTTTGTTGGCTATTTCTAATGTAAAACAATCTTAGAATCTATATCGAAGTATAGGGCAGACGTTAATTCATAATCTTTAACACATAGATTATCGCGCAGTATTTGACTCAGTCAAAATCGGTGCAATTCTGATAAATCAAGTCACGATTTGACAGTGTGAAATCGGCAATGTTGGCGCACGCGGGAAGGGCCCAAGGTACACCAACAGCACGACTGAAATGCTAGTTATGTCTATGCCAATAAACAAATTCTCACCTCTCTTCTGGAAATTTGTTGTACAATTGCGAAATATCATCAACAAAATGGTTAATCTTGAAGACAATCTTGCCCATGTTGCCCAGTATCGGAAGCGGGGTTATGCTCTTGATTTCATGCTTGCTGAAGTAGCAATATATCTGCTTCAGGTACAGTAAGAAAGCCAAACCTATAGCTAATGTCCATATAATGATAATCATTATATCTGTAAAAAAGGAAAATTTGTATTTTTTTATTTTTATTACCCTTGTAGGCAGGTAGGTAGGTAACCGCTCACTTGATGGATTACCGTCGCCCATGGACTTCAGCAATGCCAGTGGCTAGACCGCTGCCTACCGTGGTAATTCGGTTTGAAGCGGACCTTGGCTATGAGTAGACCAGTGTTGCCAAACGTATTAATTTGTCTCCTTACAAGAACCCTGAATATGAGACTTGAAGTTTTATTTATTGCAGGGTATTAATAAAGTTGATTGTTACCACAACGCAAATTTCACCACCCACCTGGACGATCTAGAACTAGGTCTATGAAGTCAGAACTGTATTGTAAAAGCGACTGCAAAATTATTAGTGACGCGAATATGGCAGCGGTCTAGTCATGAAGATATTCAGACAGTAATGACCACGTCTCTCAAGCGCCTGTAATTGGCAATTTTTTTAGTGTGAGCACAACGCACGTGATGGTGCGCAATTTATCCTTATTTTCAATTGAATTCTTCAAACGAGTATAGTGAATTGATTTCCACGTTTATAGCACAAGAGATACGGTCGTTTTTTGTTTGGATTGCTTTAATAGTTTTCAATTGTTGTCACCTTGAGACGTAAGGTTAAAGTTCAGACACATGTGAAACGGTTCATTTTGGAGTTATAGGCGTTCATGGTGGTGGTGATACGCCCAGCTCCAGTCATCGTTCTCGTCGAACCCGTCGCTTGCGACGAAGGGCTCGTCGAATAAATTAACCCTCAGACACAGCCCACTGAGTTTCTCGCCGGATCTTCTCAGTGGATCGCGTTTCCGATCCGGTGGTAGATTCTGCGAAGCACGGCTCTTGCTAGGGTTCGTGTTAGCAACGTCGTCAGGTTTGAGCCCCGTGAGCTCACCTACTAGTTAAGGTTCCGCTGATATAGCCTCTCAAGGCTATCAGATTAGGTAGGAAAAAAAGAAAAAAAAAGCCCAGTATACTTCTCTTGTGATTATTTCGAACCCAAGTTTTCAAGTAGATTTTTATCAACACATTATATAGGGTAGGTATTATCGCTCTCCCTTATCCTGGCCTGAACAAGTTAAAGGGTAAAAGAGTCGTTTTTATAAGGCAGTTCTTCGAGTTCATATCTCTGGGCTCCGATTACAACTTTACCACAGGCCAGCTGTGAGCCGGTGCGATAGCTAGCGATGTCAATTGAAACATTAAGCAAATTTGCAAAGTGAAAAATAATGTAAAATTACTCTATACTGGTTCTATACTGGTGGTAGGACCTCTTGTGAGTCCGCACGGGTAGGAACCACCACCCTGCCTTGAAGCAGTAAAGCGTTTCGGTTTGAAGGGTGGGGCAGCCGTTGTAACTATACTGAGACCTTAGAACTTATATTTCAAGGTGGGTGGCATATACGTTGTAGGTATCTATGGGCTCCAGTAACCACTTAACGTCAGGTGGGCTGTGAGCTCGTCATCCACCCATCTAAGTAATAACAAAAAAAACCCAAAAAAAATATTAACATACATATATATTAAATAGGAAAAAACAAAACAGTTCAGTACCTTTTCTTCTGTTCTGTTTGATAACTGATTATCTCTTTTTTTGTTTTCTTGTTGTTCAGATTAGAGGTGCTTCCCACCTTCACAAAAAAAAAGTCAATTACAAAATAAAAAAAAACATTCAATTGCAACATTCGCATATTCGAATTAAACAATCATCTTTTGTTTGAGTTCCCAAAACCCATCATCTCACTCACTCACATCATATTTACATCGCAATCATTTACATTTTACAAGAACACAAAATTTACGGAAAACATGAACACTTACGTTTCTTAATATAAACATCAAATCGCTATCCAATTAATTTATTTATATTTATCTATTTTCGTGATAACTGAATTAGTGAGATTGACGTGCGCGCACATGAGGCGACTGTTTCTTTCTGATGTTGAGTTATAGATAGTATCAAGGTTTTGATGCGAAAAATATTATAGTAATACAAAGAATGATAATAAAGAATATTTGTTATGAAATTTACGGAATGTTTACAATCTCTGGATGCGCGAAGACACTTTCATTCATTCCGTGTTTAATGGCACACAGTATGTTCTTCGGTATCCGCGAATCGTGGACATCATTATAATTACTTTATTTATTTATTTGTTTTTTATTACATAGATGGGCAGGCGAGCTCACAGTCCACCTGGTGCTAAGCGTTTACTGGAGCCCATAGACATCTACAATGTAAATGCCGCCACCCACCTCGAGACATGAGTTGTAAGGTCTCAGTTTTAACAGGACAACGGCTGCCCCATCCTTCAAGCTGAAACGGAATACTGCTTCACGGCAGAAATAGGTGGGGTGGTGGTGCCTACCCGCGCGGATTTACTTGAGGTCCTACCACTAGTAAAGAGAACAAATAATAGTAAAATAAGAAAGAATATCTATTATGAAATTTACGGAATGTTTAATGGCACACAGTATGTTCTTCGGTATCCGCGAGCCGTGGACATCATTAAAACTACTTTTACGGCTTAATCTCGAATTTATTATTGTCGTTAAATTATTTTTTACCTTTTCTTTTATTGCTTAAATGTGTGGACGAGCTCACAGCCCACCTGGTGTTAAGTGGTTACTGGAGCCCATAGACATTTACAACGAAAATGCGCCACCCACCTTGAGATCTGAGTTGTAAGTCTCATTTCTCAGTATAGTTACAACGGCTGCCCCATCCTTCAAGCCGGAACGCATTTTCGCCACCTTTTTAAGTTTTCGTGGTCAGGAATAACTGGTCGTCGCGATATAAATGCGAGATTAAGCCGCATCCGTAGTTTTAATTTTGTTTATGTTATGTATTCTATGGAGATGATTCCGTCATCTTATTGCTATTATCGCACCACGCACCAACATTGCACAGTTCATCCACTATACTACTAACTCCTACACTTATTCTCGGAGCAGAATTCTCGGACAGAAAAAAAAACCATGTCATTAAATTCTGGAATAAGCTCCGAGAAATTTCAGCGGCGCTAACACGTATCCTTCTTCAAATGAGGTTTAAAAAGAGTCCTCAGTGGTATAGGTATAGTCACTTGGTTTTGCCGCTGGTATTGTTCATATTCAGAACGATGGCGACCAGTCACCATTACATAAGCTATAGAGATAGAGACTCTTCGACTCTTGGACTCCTGTCTTGGATGCAAAAAATAAACAGCAGTGTTTATCCACACGTTTAATACCACTCACCTTGAAACATGAGGTAATTGCATTGAATGTCTCATTTGTACTCTTGACATCCAACTTTTGATAATATTCGTCATCATACTTTATGATGAATCAGGTCTTATTCAAGCAATTATATAGGGTGCAAATGGAATCCCAATAGTAAAAGTGCCCTGAGCAATTGTTTGAGATGATTCCGCGATCTCCTTCCAATCCAGATAGCCAGCCCTTAAAACGTCTTATTGGGTAAGGAAGGGGGACGGCAGAAGACCGCGTGAGTCTGTTGTGAGAGGCCTCTTAAATAAGGAGAGGAGAATAAGCTTGAGCAGGGAAAGGCATCAAATCTGCCCCTTCCTAAAGCTAGTGATCATGACTACTCTGTCATGAGTGTATCAACTAAGAAGAACAAGATTGAATGTTGGGGAGCTACTTCAGGTCGTCGAGATAGTGATCATCTTAATACAATAATTAATTAGAACTCCACTTACATATAACGACTTATACATCATGTTTGAAAGGCAAAGGTATCACTGAATGAAATATGACATGGATAAGGTTAGTGCTAGTGAATGATTGATGCTACATTCTATATTACTTGAGATGTTCACGGCAATTTTTTGTCATTGATGGGTTCACAAGCTCACGGCCCACCTAGTTAGTGGAGAATATATACTCTATAAAGTGAATACTGTCGCAGTTCTCACAATCACTATGTATAATTTTGAATACATTCATTGATAAAATGCCACAACTTTATGTTATCTTACTGTCCGCACTTCATAATACCAGGCGTTAACATAAACCTAATAAAATTCACTAATCCGCCCGCACTGTGTACATAATCACCAATATTTACATCAAAAACAGTCCTCCCTCTTCGGAGTCATAGCGTACGAGAGTTCCCTTAAAAATTTTAGACTACGTCAATTCGGTGCGGCGACTTGCTTGAAGTTCTTCTAGGCTGTAGCTTTTGTTGTGTTTGTGTTTGACAGCCAATTAATCTAGCTGTGGTATGTCAGTAGCAACATGTCGCTTGTCATCCTGGGCAATGTTGTTGGTGCCACACAGAAACTATATGGAAAATATAAAATATGCTGTTTTTTACATCGATACGATGGTTTTTTACTAGAAACTTCATAAATTGTTCAAATTGATGTTTCTTCTATGACACAAAAGTTGGAAGTGGAGTGGGTTCTTTTTAATAAAAATCGTCAAAAATGTAATGTAAAAAGATTCTTCTCGGAAATGTGCAAGTGAGGAGTCATATAAAATAGTTTCATTTGTAGAAGTTCATTATTTTTTGGTTTTTATTCGATGAATACTTTTAGGGGGCTGGGTGTACAACTTTTCAAAAAGATCCCACTAAACGTTCAATTACTACCTGTTCATAGATTTAAGAAAACTGTCAAGGAACGTTTGTGCAACAAGGCATATTATAAAGTTAAGGATTATTTACTAGATGGCACTACGTGGGAATGAGGCGTTCGCTCCTGGCCTTTTAAATTTTTTTATTTATTAATTTTTTTTTTTAATTGTATTTTTTGACTTGTTTTTTCCTTTATTGTAAATATTTTTATCTATTTCAAAAAAAAGAAAATATTTCAGAAAAAACAAAAAAAAGGCCGCTGAGTTTGTTTCGCCGGTTCTTCTCAGGACTGTGACTTTTTTTGGAACCGGTGGTAGAGTTAACATTGTTATTTATATTTTGACATTCAACAAGTGTGTCATACTGACATCTAAGTTGAAATAAATGATTTTGATTTTGAATTGAATTTGAATGCTCGATCTAGCCATAAATATAATTAAAATGTTCTTTATTAATTCGTAAATTTGCTTATTAGGGATTCACACTGAGCCGTTGCGACTGGCTAATATTTTAAGCATATTATTATCTACAATACGCTTCGTCAGATTATAGCAACAGAGTTATATATCAGCAACATGCTTCGTCAAAAAGTACAATACTTACTTTCAGCTACAAGCGTCGTCGTAACCTATAAATTAATATAAATTGTAATAAATTATTTTAAACTAATAATTAATAAATAAATTAATATAGATTGCTATAAATTGTTTCAAACACTAACAACTTTCTGCCTGACTTTTGTGTGGTGGAAGAAGAGAGTAGCTAAATTACCTTGTGTCTCTTTTATTGGTACAGCTTTAAAGATAATTGATACACATATTATAGGATAATTCGATTGAACTGAAAGGCGATTGTATGCAGCAGAGATGCGAATGTTGCGATGGATGTATGGAGTAACGAGAATGGATAGAATACGGAATGAATATATTAGAGGAAGTCTGAAAGTGGCACCTGTGACAGAGAAGCTGAGAAGTGCGCGTTTGGGATGGTATGGACATGTGA